AGAGGTCTGCACGCCATGTGGGACCCTTCCTGGTGGCCAGGGATCGAACCAGTGCTGCAGAGGCTGCGGGTAGCTTCACAGCCCAGCGCTCAACCGCTGCGCCACCAGGGGAGGCCCTTCTTCCACCTTCTTATTGGTATATTTTTATGCTTATTAGGACATCACTATGGAACATTCTAGTTGAAAAACTTGTGAAAATATAGAAATTTTATGAAATATAAAAAAATAATGTCCTTTTCCCCTCCTTCTCCCCTTTCCCAGGGCAGGGTGCTGTCATCCCTCTCTCTGTGGACCCCTCACCTGGCACAGCCAGGGGCAGAGAGGGCACTCAAGGACACCTGTGGAGGGATTAGAGGAATCACCACCATGAGCCCCAGGTGAGCCTCTGCCTCTACATTCAAGGTGGAGTGTGTCCAGGAAGGGGCCCTGGGTGGGCTCGCTGGGCGGAAGGCGCCTCCTTTCCGCCCCATTACTGGGCTGATGCCTGAAGAGCTGAATTTCCCTGAAAGATAAGTTGGACTGAGGAGAAATTCCTTTCCCTGGGAGCGGTGGGGAGTGTCCGTCCTGGGCTTGCATCCTGGCTTGGCAAACACATGCGTGTGCACATGCACACGTGTACACACACATGTGCAATCATAGGTCATCCTATCCCAGCCTGCTCCCCAGGGAGCCTAATTTCACAACACAGACTGATCGGTGGGAGCACACTGAGCTGAGAGGCCTGAGCGTTGAGTTCTTATATGAACTTTACACGACGTGGCCTAAAGCGTGGAACTAAGCACGCAGTCTTCATGGGCCTCATCTTCTTTATCTTCCAAATGGGCCAGCAGAGAACCAGGCATGGAGGAGACACCAGCCCCGGAAGGACACTGCACCTTCCAGGGCACGGCTTCGGGAACTGCCCTTGACCCCCGGTTTGTTGTGGGAGCCAAGACACAGGAAACTGACATTTTGGGCAGAGCAGGCAGCTGTGCAGGGGGAGGGGTGATGTCGGAGCCAGCAGCTGGTGGCCTCTGCCCAGGTCAGCAGGTCAGCAGCCCCTCCTCCTGCCCTGGAGCAGCTGGCCAGGAGCTGAGTGACCCCCAGCAGGGCACGCTGCACCCCTCAGAGGACAGACTGGAGAAGCCCCCAGCGCCCGGTCATGGGTGTCTTCTGCAGGCTGCAGATGACACCATTGGGGATGCTGCTTCTGCCTTCCTGACAGTGTGACCTGACTGACGCAGAATGTGAGGACGGGCTACAGGCGGCTCACCCCAACCCTACCGGCTGTCAGCTGAGTGAGCTGGCCAGTCACCAGACTCTTCCTTCCCTATCGTGAGGTGTGGAGCGAAGTATAAATGTGCACTTCTCATATGAACAAATAATATGAGCTTGGTAAACATGTATTATTGTTACGACTAATGCCGGCAACAATTGCAGCCTTTGGAGTTGGGGACCAATGATGTCCAATGAATAAATGAGAAATGCTGGGGAGCTAAGAGGCTGCCGTTTCTGCCACCAGCTCCCCGCAATGCCAGCCCCACAGCTCTTGCCAGTAGAACACCTGTGCCCTAAACTCATCCTTAATGCCAGTCCTAGCCCCTGTGATAATAACTTGTGTTCATCTGGGATTCTAGGATCTTAATTTCAATTGAAGTTGGTTCTGTTTCTCTGCAGACACTAACAGACTGGTCGCTCAAAACTGCATCTAATGCCACAGCCCTTCTCTATGCCCAGGCTGTCACTGGTTCGAGTCATCATCATCTCTCCCTGGGGTGTTAGGTTTGCTGCATACCTGGAATCTCGCTGCAGCTTATTTCCCAATGAGCAGTCAGGGTAACCCTGTAAAACCATGAGTCAATTGTGTGACCCCCTTCTTTAGTGTCCTCCATCGGCTCCCGTCTCAGTCAGAGTAAGACCTGAAGCCCTTGGACAGCCTCCCCTCCTGCTCCTTTCTCTGACCTTCCTTTCCCCTCCCTGCTCACTGGACCCCAACCACGTGCTTCTCCTTTATCATGCCAAACAAGTTGCATTGTGAAGGCCTTTGCAGTTGCTCCTCTCTCTGCCTGAAAATCTCTTTGCTCTGGATAATCCACCTGAGCCAAGCACAAACTGAGTAGCACTGGTTTCTTCCTCTCAAGAGAAGCAACAACCTTAGGCAGAGTGGACTGTTCATTTCGGATTTGTCAAACATGTGTCTGAAACAACATCCGCTTCTTGACAGATGGCTTGGGGAGAAATTCCTTCCCCTAGGAGTGGTGGGGAGTGTCCCTCCATATGTTGGTCTCGATCATTACGTCATGTCTGTTGCTGCACCTGTATGAGGTCGATGTGCAGGTGAGTCAAGACAGGATGCTAAGTTGGAGCGTTTGTGTGAAAGGCAAGTTAGGCCATAGTTTGTCTTTTATGTCTGCTCCTCACTTCCTTCCAAGTCTATGATCACCCACTATCTAAAGAAGCCCTTGCCCTTTGATCTTGGGCCCAAGATAATTCATGCTTTGGTCAGGGAAATGGCTTGGGATGCATGGTAGGAAGTGGATACTCTAAATAGGAGTGCATGGGGGATACACCCCTTTGGGGGTGTTCAGATGAGAGAGCCCTGTGTCCCTATACGCTCATCCTTGTCAGCCCTCCTCTCCTGGACTTACCAGAAGCGGCCAACTAGCTTTGACTGTTCACTGTCAGAACACCCAAGCCTTCCTCATGGTAGTTGTGGAAAGAACCTGTGTATCTGGACCGTGGAATTAGCTAGACCTGGTTCAAGTCCCTCATCTGACATTCTTAAGAGGTGGGGCCTATGACAGATTGTGTGTGCCTCTTGGTTAGTGTCCTCACCTGCAAGATAGAGATGATAGTGCTTATATCGTGGTGTTGTTATTGTGTAGCGAGTGCCTGGCTGGTAAGTAGTGAACATTCAGTGACTTTGAATCAGGATGAGTCTGCCTGGCAACAGAAGCCTGTCCAGATGTATGGCCCAGACCTGTCCCCTGAGATCATAGTGATGTAGCTACAAGTCAAGGAATGTCACCAGAAACTAAAAGGCAAAGGGAAGATTCTCCCCAAAATCTCTGCAGGGAGGGTGGCCCTGTGGATACCTTTATTTTAACCCAGTAAACTGGACTTTGGACATTTGTCCTTCAGAGATATGAGTGAATATCATTCTGTGATTATCAGTTACCAAGTTTGTGGTACTTGTTACAGTGATCATAGGAAATGAATGGATTAGGTATTCAGTAAATATCAATGAAACTGGTAGGGGAGCTAGATGCAGATTTATGTCTATTTAACTGACCCATAAATACATCAAGCTGAAAACTTGATGTATCTGATCCAAGCGTACTGTCCACATTGACACAAAGGGAGATTCTGGTCTTTTGCCAACCTCAGCTCTTGTTCCAGAAATCTACTGATTTTAACTCCAAAAGCACCTTAAAACAATTAAACTGGTGTGTGTGTGTGTGTGTGCGTGTGTGTGTATGTGTGTGTGCCTATATGTTGTCATTTTTTAAAAAAGTTTTAGGTGGTTCTAACATATAGCTAGGGTTGAAAACTATCTGGACCAGGTTCTTCATAGAACTGGTTGATCCTCTCGAAGATCACTAAGAAGTTGAGTCTGTGAGTGACTTCAGGGTTTGCAAAATACAGTTAACCTTTGAGCAATGTGGGGTTTAGTAATGCTCACACCTCCCTCAGCACCCTGAGGCTACCAAGATGCTGGTATGTTCCACCCCTTAAAGTTGGCCTTCCATCTGGTGCATGCAGGTCAGAGGCGAGGTCCAGACGTTGTCACCTAGGACCGAGCTGGTACCTGCAGCAGACACTCATGACCACTCCAGTGGGACTGCTCTCCTTCACCTTGTGACCCACTGCTCCTTCCAGAGTCGAAACTCGATCAGCCTACTTCCAGCTCTAAACTGCAGGTAAGATTCACTTAAAGTGCAGCCCCCAAGCAGCTGCAGGACCCAGTCTTAGCCCACACCTTCTCACTCTTTGCCCATACACCGAGAGTCTTTGCCCTGGGCATTAGGAAATATTAAGCAGTTAGTGACCCTGAGGTCTTAACATTGGTCATGCCTCTGCCTAATGCTGTTTGCATTCAGCCACAGTCTTTTCATCTCCTTGGGGACATCTCATGGCAGGTTTTCTGAAGCTCAGACACACTGTCAGCTGCCACTCTGCTCCAAGGCCTATGCAACATGGGAGAGCGGCCAGTCTGATGGCACCAGCTTCTTCTGCACTCTTGTAGCCTCAGCATATTTGGTCCTGCATCCTTTCTCCTGTAAGATCACATCCAGGTGATTTCCTAATTCCTGCTGACCAGGACCTGGGGGGAGAAGGCAGCAGGGGGAATGCATGTTTACCGTGAGGAGCTGGCTCACTGAGGCTGTTGGGGTGGAGAGGTGATGCCGTACCCCCAGCTCCAGCCTCACCCAGAGAGCCAAGGCAGTGTTTACAGACAGAGGGCATCCCCAGGAGGGGATGGCTTTCCCTGTGGAGGGGAGCCAGTGCAGGCCTGGTCAGTGAGCCAGGAGCAAGAGCACAGCCCTCATTCCTGGGTGCTCTCTGCCCTCCTCCCCCGCCCTGACCACCCTCACAAGAACTAAACTGTGTATCTTGGTGCTAGAATGCGAGGAATGTGCCACAGCCTGATAGGCATGAAGCAATCTGCAGAGGCAGGGAGGAGCCCTGCTCCCTGGTCAGAGGCCTGTCAGTGCAGGGCTATGGGGCCCGCTGGCCGGCTGCCCCTCCCATCCTCCCTGGGCCTCCTGCTGCAGCAGGCATATCAAAGGCTGCATTGTGCATTGGGCCGGCCTTGGTCCCTCGTGTGCAAGGGAGGAGGCGGGAGGAGGGACACCGTGGCGTGGCGGAGTGGTGAGGCTGTCCCCTCCCTCTGCTCTTCTGGCTGGTGTTCCCAGGGGCCTCGGCCCGGGGAGGATGGTGCACACATGGGTGGCTGCTTCTGCATCCCTGGGGAACAGAGTCTGCCCTGGGGCCCAGGTGAGTCTCCGGGGTCGGGGGCTCTAGGCTGTGGCTTGGCCAAGGTGGCCGGTCCAGTGAAAGCTCAGGGATCTGCTGGGTTGGGGAAGCTACTCTTCCAAAGGTGGGGAGGTGGTTATGCTTTCTGGCTGCCTGTCCTCCCCCCAAGTTCAGTATTTGTCATTCTGACTTTTAAAAGGGGAGTGAAGCCTGGGAAACATTTACTTTTTGAGAGAAAGAGACTTTGAGTTCACTCAGAGTGAGAGCTGCACTTGGCGGCCACTCCCAGGGTGTGACTAAGCCCTTCCTTCCTTTTTTCCCAAGATTCCCTGGGTCAGGAAGAAAGCTCAGGCAGCCAGTTCCTCTGTGGCTCATGGGTGGTCATGAACTTGACCTCAGTCACTCAACCCTATTTTCGTCAGTATTGCTGTTACTGGAGAAAAACAAGCCGTTTCCTGTCTCCTACCTCGACAGTGTGATTTTTGAGGGTATGTCAAGCTGAGGCCATGGAGATCTGTTGCTCTAAGAAATTGTCAAGTCATCTGAGACTGGATTCGAGTGACCAGCCATCCCGGTTTGCCTGGGACAGTGGGCTGCCCGAGGATGTAGTCCGGGCTCAAACGGAGACCGTTCCCGGGAAACCTGGATGGTTGGTCACCCTAAGGGCAGAACGGAGGTGAACCCCGTGGCCTGGCATAAGGCAGTCTTCAGGACGAGCATGGCTTTGTGGGAGGGGTGGCTGGAGAAGGACTAGCTTGGGCGGAGAAAGAACATTCCTATAAGGAGTCATCCTAACCCTCCTTAGGATTCTGTGTCTTCCTGGAGCACAGGCTCCCTGGAGGGAGAGGACAAGAGCCACCTAGAACATCGGCTTCTAGAAGGTGACTTCTCCCTGTGGCCTTGTGACTTGGCCTGACGGTGTGAAGGCTCTAGAGGTCCTTAAATGAACAGTGAACCTGAAGCATCTGGGTCCTGCTCTTCTGCTTGGAGTTCCAGCCTAGCTATTTGGCTTTTCTGGCAGGAAGCGGTGCCCAGACTAAGGCTACCCTGGACCAAAAATTATTATCAACCCCTCAAACAACATCTTGGCACAAAAGGCACAACCTTTAGCTATGAAGTATTTTCCTTCTCCAAATTTTTGGATTTTTAAACTTTTCAGACCTTCTCCTTAAATCCTGTTGTTATGGTAACCCATGGGCACAGGCATAGCATGGAGCTGGGGAGACATGAGGATCGCCATTCGGTAATCTGGGGGCCTGGCTTCTCGATCTGACTCAGTTTACCTCCCGCGAGGCAGGCATCATGAAGGCCAGTTTTGATCTTGCTTCTTTGTGGTGCTTTGAGCAATTTATTCTGTGCTTAGTTTCTGTGTTTTAGTTTCCTTGTCTATAGATTTCACGATATAGTTATGCCTTCCTCATCAGGTTATGGTGGGAAGTCATGTGGAACACTTAAGTCAACCTGGCACAGTTAATTACTTACAATCAGTACATAGCCACATTAACTGTGGCCAATATGCTATACTCTTGCTAGGTCTCTGCCCAGCTGTAAAGTGAGGGGAGGTCTTAACTGAGCCCGTGGAGGGCACTGCGCTGGCTCCCTGACCCCCAGCTTCAGCTGGAGCATCTCTGCTCCTGTTTGACATCCTGTCCTCACGCGAAGATTTCATGCAAAGTGGTTCTGCAGCTCAAAAGCAGCCAGAAAGTCAGTTCCTACTGAAGGAGGCACCACAAGTTTCTTATGACCCTCTGCCTCTATTTCATCCTTTCAGCTGGTTTTTGCCATTGATGATTGGTTGACATCCTGGATCCTCATTTTCACCAAGAGTTAGGCTTCTGGTTATTTCTCCGTACTGGTCAGCGCTGATATGGGTGTTGTAGGCAGATCTGAGGCCAGTTGCTGTAAGTATCCCTTTGTAGGTGTCTATTTATCCTAGAGAAAGGGAACCAAGAATGAGATGACTTAAGGTGGTGTGGCTGTGGGGCGCCACTTACACTCTTGAAGCTAAGCTGTCCTGGCTGCCACCTGGGTCTAATGGCGGTGTCTGTCACATGGAGGCTTTGTGAGGATCCAATCAGATAATTCCTCTAGGGGTTTAGCACAGCGTCTGGTTTCTGATAACCCCTCAGTGCTTGTGGGTTGTTTTATTGTTGGCTAGTAAGACCCCTCCCACATCCTTTCTTCCCAGTTCCTGACTCTGCCGGCTGGCGTTGGCAGAGGGGCGGTCTGTGCTTTTTCTTTGGCCGCTTCTGCCGCTGTGGCCATTTAAGTGGGAGTGAACAGTGAGGACTGATAGTCCTCAGGGCTGAGGGGGCAGAAAGGAGCAGGATCCTGATAGCACCAGGTTCTGGATGGTTGCCCAGCTGGCTTGCTGAGGCGTGATACGTGACATTGTTGGCTCTGAGGACCTGAGGCCTGTTGCTTTATCGCACGGCCCCTGCCTGTAACATCTGCTCCTCAGGATGTTCCTCATTTGCTCACATAAATCTCCCCTTTGCACATGATGGGAGGGCAGTTCCTGGTCACTTGCCATCACCCGTGGGCCTCCTTGGTGGCGCAGCGGTTGAGCACTGGGTTCTGAAGATGCCAGCAGTCTCTGCAGCGCCGGTTAGATCCCCGGGCACTGGGTGAGGGTCCCACATGGCACGCAGACCTCTCCTGCCTCCCACTGCTCCCCTCAGCAGTGTACTTTGTCAGTCTGCCTGCTCTGCTCTCCCCTCTGGCTCTGGTGAATTCTCTCACCCTCCCGTGCTTCTGACTGTACCCAGTGCTTGTATAAATAAATCTTTAAAAAAAAATAAAAAAAAAAATCCCCCCCTTGCTCACCTCAGATCACAGGGCAAGTCATGTATGAGTTTGTTGGTGTCAAAGTTTCCAGAACATTCCTCTTATGAGCAACATTTTCTTGAAGAAATTTGGGAGACTGACACCCTTAACTAGCGGACGAAGAGAGACTGTGGTCGTAACTGGTGTTTGGAACTATCCACCTTTCTGGTAAATTTGCATCATCAGTGTAATAATAGGAGACTTAGTGCGACTGCCAGTGACAGCGACTGAAATTGTGCATTTGAACTTTAAAATACTAATGAGGCATTTCAAACACATCCGAGAACAAGAGAACAATAGAGCCACCTAACCTGAGCACATTTCTGCTTTATGCTGTATTAGCTTCAGAATAGCTTTATTTTTCTTCCTTTTCCTTTTGAAGAAGTAAAACAGGACAGATACAATTGGGGTCACCTGGTAATTCTTCCCAATCTCATTCTCCTCTCTCCCTAATCACTTCCATATTTTCAGTGGTTTTGTGATTTTATGACATAATCACATATTCATATGCTCATCATCAGTGCAGCGAGTTTATTTAGAAGATTTTAAAGCTTAAGCAAAATATCGCTATGTAACTACCCCCCCCCCCACTCTCCCCTTCCATGATCTGAGAGATATCTGTGTAGCTAGAAGGAGTTGTAGTTCCAATATGACACTTGTCTCAATAAGAACTATGTGAATCATAAAAACTGCTGGTGGTATATTTATCAGGTCAATGAAGGAAAAAATATGTAGGTAGAGAAAAAGAGCTTGGAGGGAAATGTTCACAATTTAGTTTTCTTTTCAAATTGGGTGTGGTGGTGCAATGTAGGAGCAAAGAGACTAAGAAAGAAAAAATGGGAGCGAATTCTCATTCCCGGCGCATTTTTGTGAGTGAGATTTTTCCTGCATTAGAGACTTTAGACCTCAAAGTTCTGAGGTCAGGCTAGCGCAATGAAAACAGCAAGATCTGCCCTCCGTGATCTGGATGCCTGCCGACTCTGTGCTTAACCTACTGTGCAACGGTGGTAAAATCACTGTACCTCTCTGGGCCTTTGTTTCTCCACAATAAAACTAGGAGTGAAACAAAATGACCTCTTAAATCTTTTAAACATTTGTTTTCTTTAATTGTCCCCTCTTTCTCATTTTTATCCCACATATGCAATATGTCAAAATGGCTTCTCTTTTCTTAGTTTAAAATATATTATCCGTCACTCTATCCCTAACTTCTCACTGCCAAGACCTCAGTCACATTCCCACACTCTCATACCTGGATTGTCATGCAGCTCTTCGACTGGCCTCCTTGCTTCTTATTTGCTCTGTATTTTCTGTGTTCCCCCAGCGAAAATTTATGCTTTATGCCATTCCCACGCTCAAGAATGTTTCCTGGCTCCCTATTGCTTGCTGTATCCATTCTAAAGCTCTCTGCCCATCTCCCCATGCTCTTCCTAGCCTGTCTTTCTTATGATTATCAGTTTTAGTCCCACAGTCACCCACCTTTCCAGTACATGTATCTGACCTCTGCCAGCTCACATGCCTGCAAAGCCTGTTTCCTCCTATCCTGCTGATCTCTTTACTGTTGATCCTGTTTGCTCCTCGCCCATAGAAATCTAGCAACAATGTAAAAAGGCAAAAAAACCATTGTAATGCAGAAATGAAAGGTAAACAATCCAGTTAAAACAGGGCTAAAATGTGTGCAGACAATTTCATTCTAAAAATATAATGGTGGCAAATAAGCATGTGAAAAAATGCTCAGTAGCATTAGTCATTAGGGAAATGCAGCTACAAGCTAAAGCTGAATAGCTACCAAATGGCCAAAATTAAAAAGATTGGTACAAGCAAGGGTTGGTGAGCATGTGGAGCAACTAGAATATTGCAGGTGATGCCAAATGTAGCAGCCATTTGGAAAAGCAGTTGGCTGTTTAAAATAAAGTCTCAGTGTTTTTCGAAATGAGTTAGTAACTTTTTCTGATCAATAATCATAAAAATAAATAGCTTACACCAAAAATAATTTATTGAATCACATTGTCTAATCAATAATATTAATACAAATGAAATTGACTTATAGCAAAAGTAATTAATTAATTTATGAATGAAGTCCAGGGGTTATTTGTTTCAGGTATGGCTGGATCAAAGTATTCAAATGAAGTTTGAATCAATGAAGTTAACTTTCCTAAGCTCTGTACTGAGTCGAACTTAGCTTCCACCTGGCTTTCTCCTTGTGGTGGATTCCACAGCTCCACCTGCCGAAGTAGAGAGGCTACCCCCAGATGTTTGGAGGTAGAATAGGTTAAAAAAGAACTCTAGGAATATTTTTAATTCATCGTTTTATTAAAATTTAGCATTCATATGGAATTGAGCCTCAAATTATGTGTGTACAGCTTGGTGAATGTTTCCTGGGTGAATATATCTACCTCTTCTGCTTCATTTGTTTATTCTCATTCTGTGATCTTAGTCACAACTTCAAGTGCAGCAGAAACAAATCTTCTCTCCCCTAAGAGTGCTGATAAGGTTCCTAGGACCAATTCTCACTGACTTAACTTGGTTCATGTGGCCATGGTGTAGCATAACCCCATTGGTATATACTTGAATTATGTGCCCACTTTAGAACCTGGCCCAGGAGCCAGCCTCACCTGAACTGTGTGGGCTGGTTTGGCATGGGTCACAAGACTCATGAAGAAGGCAGGGGTTGAATCCAAGAATGTCTAATTGCAGTCTTTATTCCATTCTACCTGCCTCAGTGTTTGAAAAGAAATGCATGCCCATTATGGCATATTAGTGTCAAAAGTAAATACACTGTACCTTTATAAACTTACATGTAGTAAGTAACTATAGAAAGAAGAATCAGAAGAGTGATTAAAAATGACTCAGCAGTAGTAAGCACAAATCATTCAAAGTTTATGTTTTTCTTAAAGCACTTCATTCTATATGACAGTTTTTGTTGTTGTATTGAATCATCTCTGGTTCTTTTTCAAGGCCCAGCTCAAATCTTCAAATTCCTTACAATTCCATGTGAAAGAACTTTGTGAATTGTAAGTTCCTGTGCCGCTAGTACCTATCCTACTTATTATAGGGCTTACTCTGATTTTCTAGATTCCATATTGTTTCTTTCTTTTTTTTTTTTTAAGATTTATTTATTTATCTTTAGAAACACTGGCTACAGTCAGAAGTGCAGGAGGGTGAGAGAATTCACCAGAGCCAGAGTGGGGAGCAGAACAGGCAGAAGGGCGAAACACACTGCTGAGGGGAGCAGCGGGCGAGATAGGAGAGGTCTGTTGCGCCATGTGGGACCCTCGCGGCAGCCGGGATCAAGCCAGCACTGCAGAGCCTGCAGGCAGCTTCGCAGCCCAGTGCTCAACTGCTGCACCACCAGGGGAGGCCCTCCATATTGCTCTTGAAGCACATGGATCCGGGGCTCTCTCTGCTCCAGAGATTCACACCAGAAACCCCCAAGGTGCTGCATAAAGTGCCTAAGTCCAGAGGCTACCTCCAGTTGTTTGGAGGTAGAATAGGTAAAAAAAGAGCTCTAGGAATATTTTTAATTCATTGTTTTATTAAAATTTAATACTTATACAGAATTGAGCCCCAAATTATGTGTGTACAGCTTGGTGAATGTTTCACAGGTGACTATATCTACCTCTTCTACTTCATTTGTTTATTCTCATTCTGTATTGAATTTAATTGTATGTCCTGTCCCCTATCCATTTTAGTGTAACTGGGCATTTCAGTTGTTGTTAGGTTTTTGCTGCTGTGCTGTTCTGAAGTTGTTTATAGATGTGTGTTGGGGAACATATGTGTGTATTCAGGTATGGACCTAGGTGTGGAGTTGCTGGGTCTCCATGTATGCATGTGTTCCATTTGAACTGATTCTGTAAAAATTTTCCAAAGTGAAAAGTTGCAAAATTCATCCTCACACTTGCATATATAGGAATTTAATTGTTGTGTCACCCTACAAACACTTGGTCTTTTCATTTTCGCCAGTCTAGTGGCAGCCCCTAGTTTTAATTTTCATTTCCTTCATGTGTTTGAGAACATTTTCAAGGATTTATTGGTTGTTTGGATATTATCTTTGTGAAAAGATAAGGGATAAGATAAGATCCCTTTTGTGAAATTACTGGCTACCACGTCATGCAGATATCCTTAACTATTTTTTTATACATCTTCTGGGACAGGTATCCTTTAAAAGATATGTATCTTGGTCATTCTGATGCAGACTGTCCACATTTGTGTTCTGTGCAATCTACAATTTTCTGCTCTCAAGCCCACATATTCTAGAAGAGCCACGTGTGGTGCCGTCTCCCAAGTCAGTACACTGTCCTGGGCCTCCTCCTTCAAGGTGGGCTCAACTCATGGGCCCTTCATTGTTTTCAGGCCATTGTTTCTTCTCCTGCAGTCTCACAACAGGGACACTCTCACCAAGGTCACCTGTGCCAGGGGCAAATGGGTGACCTGACAGAGACCAGATGCCTGCATAGGGGCAGCAAACACACAGGCCCAGCTGACTGTGCTCCAAGAACATGAGGGACCTGCTACAGATTTTCCAGGCAAGCCAAACCTCTGGGCTGTGTAAAGAATCCCAATTTCTAAATGCTGTCAAGTAGTTCAAACTTGAAATACTAACTGTGTGGACAAATAAATCAATCAACAATAGGGAGAAAGGAAAAAGATGTATGTAGGTTGCTATGGCCCATGGCCTTTGCCTTTCAAACTCTGTCCTCAAGTAGAGAAGCAGGTTGCCACCCCCCACCTCCCCTGCCCTGCTGGTGAAGCATGGGGCCTGCAGGACCACCTGCCGATACACTAGAAATGCAGGACCGGATCCTGGCAACCGCTGAGGCAGAATCTGTGTTTTAGCAATATTCCCAGGTGACTCTTACACATATGAGAATTTGAGGCCACCAATTCAGGTGTGTGGTTCTCAATACTGCTCAAATTAGAATCATTTGGGGAAACTAAAAAAAAATAGCTGGGGTTTCCTAGGAACCACATCAGTCAGCATTTCTGGAGATGAAGCCAAGCAATGGTATTTTAAAAAAATTCATCCTGAGTGACTCAAATATGTAGCAGGGTTGAGAAGCACAAACATAGATCAAGTCCTCATTTATGAGTGGATAAGTGAAATCTCAAAGATGCAGAGATGAAATGTCTTACCCAAGGTCATGTAATTGATGTGAGGGAGAATGTGATTTGTGCTCTGACCTCATAGCTCCTGGCTCTCCAGTCAGTGTCTTTGCTACAGTGACTCTTGGTTCCTGGGGAAGAAATAAAAAAATGATCCTGTTCAACGATAGCTCATTACTGCCAGCTTTCCAGTTCAGCTGCTTAGCTTTCTGCACTGAACCCCTAACAAAACTGACTGGATAAGAGCTACGAGGTGATGGGACCCCCTTCTGCATGTTCAAGCCTAAGTCTATTTAATTCTCCCTGTCTCTCACCCAAGTGAGTGCTCACTGCTCCCGCTATGAGGAACTGGAAGATCCTCCACTTGGATTTCAAAATTCTACTACCGAGAAACAGGAGGAGGCAAAGGTTCCAGGCAGCAAAGGGAGAATGTGACAATAAGATCCCTTATAGTACTCACCAGCCTTGAGTCCCGGATAGCAGCAGTAGAAACACCATCCAAATGCAAACCTGTTGGGCTACTTGACCCACCCTCCACACCCTCACAGGTGGAGAATCTGGGAGTATTGCAAGGACTCCTTAAGTCCTCTTTTCCAGGAGCAGATATGCTTGTAATTTCTGACCCCATTGCTGAATTGTTTTGTGGTCAGATCACAGAGTAACCACAAGTCATATATTAAGGACTCAAGTCCTTTGGTATTTTTGGGATATAGCAATTCTTTTGAAATTGCCTTTTATCCTTTCCTATCTACTGCCACATGCTTTATACCTACACTCTCTTTGCAACTCTCTCCCATTCAAATAGGGGGACCAAATAAGGGATCAGGAAAAGAAAAAGACAAAACTAGCAGGCAACTATAAATTGGAGATATTCAGCAGGAGAGAGGGAGGGAGTTGGATTAAACCAGAGATGGGGTGGGTCCTCCTTGGTGACCCAGGGGTTAAAGTCTCAGCGCTATCAAGCTATCTCCAGCCACTCGGGCATGAGTTCTATCTCAGCCCAGGGAGGTGACCCACATGGCGCAGCAGACCTCTCCTGTCTCTCCCGCTGCTCCCCTCAGAGGTGTATTTCAGTAGATCTGCCTGTTCTGCTCCCCACTCTGTCTTTAGTGAATCTTTCCACTCCCCCTCCCTGGCCTACACCCAGTTCTTATATGCATAAATAAATAGAAATAAATCTTTAAAAAAATAAAATGGGGGAGAGAAGAGCATAAGAGACTATGGTGACTTGGTGGTGGGAATTATATGGGGACTACACCTGAGAGGAGAACTCAAACGTTGTACAAAAATGAACAATGATGTAAATACATACATATATATATATATATTTATAAACAAAACCAACTAGCCTTCTCCCTAACTCTTGCCTGTGCCACAATCTTCCTTCTCCTTTCACTCCAATTCTGCAGCTGCAGAGACAGGAGCTTGTTGGAGAGCTGGGAGAGAGAAGTCTATTTAGTGGGAAGACAGGGCAGGCTGGGGATAATCATGCATTTCAGGGCCATTCTACAGTGGCCCCAGCCACCTCCCTAGAGATGCGACTCTCTCTTGCTCCAGCACATCTGCAGGCCACCCCTTGCTGTGGCCATAACCACAGTGACCTTGCAGCTTAATAGACACTGAACACCTTCAGTGTACTGAGCGATGAGGCTCAGCCTGACCTGTGGGGGGTGGATTCTTTCTTTCTTTCTTTCTTTCTTTCTTTCTTTCTTTCTTTCTTTCTTTCTTTCTTTCTTTCTTTCTTTCTTTCTTTCTTTCTTTCTTTCTTTCTTTCGTTCATTCGTTCTTTCTTTCTTTCTTTTTCAAATAAAATTGGGACACCCGAGCACCTGCAGGGTTGAGATGGCATGCATGGCAGTTCTTCGATAAGAGTTGAGTACTAAATATAAGGCAATGGTGATAGCAATGAGAATTCACGCATGCCACCAGCCCCAGAGAAACATTCTCATTTGACAAAATGTTGCTTATAACTTTCTAATACTCCCACAAGTGATCTTTCATTTGATCTTCTCTAGGTAAAGGAACTCCTTCCAAGGATCCAACCATATCCAGTGAGGTTTTAACCTCATCCGAAGACAAAGAAAAATGTTTCCTGCCACAGAACATGACTCCAGGTATCTAAATGACAAGATCTAGCAAAACTTCAGTAACCTTCTCTCTCCCACCTGCGGGCAGTTCCCTCCCTCTTATCCTTTCCAGAGACCACCAAATGCATCTTTGCAGGTGTGACCTTGGCAATGATATTGACTTTTTCACTAATCTTCCATTGCTCTCCAGTGCCTTCTAGATAAGTTAAAAATTCTTACACTGACACTCAAAGCCCTTCAAAATCTGGAGCCTATTGGGAGTTCTATACATACTTGCTGTATTAAAGCATATCATTGATTTGATTTGAAGGTGTTGGAGGGTAGGGTTTTTTTTTTTTAATAATTATGTATTCTACATAGTTCCTAAAAAACTGATTTGTACATAATCGGTGCTCAGGAAATTTTTCGTAAATAAATACATGGATGGTTGAATAAATATGTGGATGTCATTTGTATTCTATGTAGTACCTGATAGTATATTAGTAGGTTCTGAATAAATATTTGTTAAACTAATGAATAAATGAATAAAGGATTAAACATGCGGAAGGAGGTTGGCAGAGCCCCTTCTGGGCATCTGTATGACTCTTTCAGAAGCAGAAAAAGATTTTGAAGTTAATGTGAAAATATCTTACTCTCAATACACATCTCTCACAAGGTTCCTCTTAAGAGATCTCAATGAAGTGGGCAAAGAGAGATGTCATCAGAGACTGGCCAAAACTTGCTCTACAATCTCTGAGAATAAACCTGTAGAAGACAAGCATGTTGGGACTTCCATATATATTTGCTGTATTAAAGAAGGCATGTCATTGATTTGATTTTAATGTGCCGGAGGATGGATTTTTTCTATTTTTGGAATAATTATGTATCTGCAGGATAAGCCTGGAGCAAACCATGTGCCAGACACAAGCCAAAGTGATCCTGGTGTGTTCTCCTCATCCTCATGTACTCACCTGTTAAGAGATGGCACCAAATCCCTCATTTTGAAGGTAGCTGCCAGGGTCTCAGACAGGGAACTAACTTCTCTACCACTACACAGGCAATTCGTGGTGAGAAAGGGCAGGGTGAGGGATACCCCGGGAACCCAAACCTGCCAGCTTTAAGTAGGTTCTGTCATCCGTTGTGTTAAGACAAAACATACTCTAGTGCATAAGACCTTTAATGAAAAGAAACTTTAATACAATTAGTGTGCAATATAGATAAGAGAAGGGAGAGAATAGATAAAATAGTTTCCAAATCAAGCACCCAAAATTACCCATCCCTTGTGGGTAAATGCCCAACCAAACAGGGTTGGCCCAAACAGGGTTGCCACAAGTCCAAGGCACCTTCGGTGGGGACACATAGAAAAGGGGCAGAAGGCGCCAGACAAGTCTGGAAGGAAAGACCAAAATCAGGATAAAGGCTGCCATTGTTAACCTCCCCATGGGTCTCTTACCCATGTCTCTTTCAAGTGTCTTTTTCCATGTCCCCAAGTCCCTGGTACAAGTCCAAGTCTGAGAAGCAAGCATGGCTTCCTCACATGTCTCTCTGCTCCAAGTGCCTCCTGCAGGTCTCCTTCAGGCCTCCTTCAGGCTCTCCATCTTCTTCCTTTCTCTTCTCAGTCTCCTCCCTAGCTTCTCCTCCTCCCTGGCCAGCACCATCCTCCCTTGGGTGGGGCAGGGAATCTGGAATCTCCCCTTACCCTGGGGACCACCTTGTTACACTTGTTCATAGCCATGATGCTCCATTGCTCTCCAAAAAAGCACTTCTTTTTGGCACACAAAATACAGTTGTTTCCCATTGGGGAGATATGTTCTAATACCCCTGGTGGATACCTGAAACCTGTATGTTTTTTCATATATGTGAGTATATATATCATATGAGTATGTATACACACAGATATATGATATTTTATCAGTTAGGCACAGTAAGCAATGAACAGTAATAGCTAATAATAAAATAGAACAATTATAACAATATACTATAATAAAAGTTATGTGAATGTGGTCTTTCTCTCAAAAATATCTTATTGTATATGATATTTCCAGACCATGTTTGACTGCAAGTAGCTGAAACCATGGAAAGCAGAGCCCTGGAGGGAACTGGGGGAAGAATCTATACTACTGTATAGATCTGTGGAAAAGATTTGCATTAGGAATGTTTTAAAGGACAGAAACCATGGAAAACAGATATCGTATAAATGTCATACCAGCTTCTTTCCTTCCTCAATTTCAAATTCTGTCGAACTGCTTGATTGGCAATGAGAAAAACTTGTTCTTTGTCTCTTGCTGTTGTGTCAACCTGCTTATCTGTCTGTCAGCTGGGCCATCCCTGCAAGAAGCCAAATCACCGAGTCATCATTTGCCTTATCAGTGTGTGAAGATGGAGAATAAAGGGCATGTGTAGGTGAAGCCCAGAGACCAGAGGCAGGGCTTGTCCATCTTCCAGTGCTTTCTGCCATGATGCTGCTTCCAGGAAGATGGCGGACGAGAAGAGGAGCCAGCTCAGCTGCACCCTTGCCTTCACGCTTAAGAGATGCAAACAGACTCAATCATATATGATATCATAATTATCTGACTGGCTTCCAGAAGGATTAAACAGTGACAAGCTACTCTTCACGCTAAACCCTGAGTGAACTTGATTTTATTCCCCCTCCGCTGGTGTAGAGGGCCCTGGAGGCTCCGGAGAGTATGTGCTCTCACTGGTTGAGATCACAAGAGCTGTTTGCTTTCTTAAATCCAAGCCTTTTAAGGTGCTTATGATTAACCTGCTGCCAAGGAGATTCATACTCAAGGGATGTCATTTGTGAGGGGGGGATTCTGATGAGAAATTCTAGAATTTAGTTTGGTCCAGTTTTGTAAGGATAGGGTTTGGTGAAAAGGATGAGAGACTCAGAGTCAAGATTAATTGCAGGTGTGGCCAGGTGACAGCAATCATTTCTGGGGTACAGGGTGAGGGCAGGGGATTTCCAATGTGTAACAGCCAAGGCTTATTATGCTTTTCAAAAAATTTTTTTTAATTAATTTTTTTCCTTACATCATTATAGTCCCTTTAGTTCTGTCATTACATCACCTGTGATCCATCACCATATTCCCCTGTGCTCTTCTGTCCCCTGTTTTGACCCCCCCCTCCCTTCCCTTGCTATAGGCCTCAGTTCTATGGTCAGCTTGCCAGTTTTGACTTTTTCTTGGTTTCTCTATATTCCACATATAAGTGAGACCATCCGATATTTATCTTTTTCCTTCTGAATTATTTCAGCTAGTACAATTAAGGCTTACTGTGTTTAATGTACATTTAGTGTGGACCCAAAGCTTCTTGTGCATAATCTTGTTTAGTAAGCCTCTAAAAACCTCTGGGGAATAGATACTCTAATGCCACCTTGCTAATAGGAAAAGTCAAGCGTTGACAGGTAGTAACTGTTCAGGGCGGTGCAGCCAGGGCAGAGCCAAGCTTTGAGCTGGAGTCTGTGGCTCCTCCTCCTAGAGATCAGTGTGCACTGAGGTCACCCCACGGAGGGCTGGACTGATGCAGAGATGAAGGGCTCGGACAAGTTCAGAACACAGGCCCCGAGGATCTGAGTAGGACGAACAGCCACCCCAGGTTCACCCAATGTCAGGTCAGTGGGGTATGTTGCACAGGAGCTGGTCCTCCGACGCAGCATTTTCAGGCTTTCTGGGTTAAAGACAGGCCTTTTAAAGGTAGGAGGTCAGGGCCGCCGGCAGACCAGGCCACACTGCAGGGGCCGTTTTCTCTAATGTGCTCAGGAATCTGGGGAGTCAGAAGAGCATCCTCGTGACTAGCCAGTCCAGTGCCTCTTAGTTCATTGTGCCTGATAATTATTAACGGGGTTGCTACTTAGTGTCCCAAGAAGACAAGTGACACATGTTCTTCCTTGGGTCGCCTCTCCAGAAAACAGAATCTAAAGGGATATACGCTTCCCCACCAACTCAGTCTCCTCCACTCATCTCTTTAACTTATTTATTTTTTTTTCATAGCACTTTCTCCACCAGAAAGTACCGCATTCGCAGGATTAGATATTTACCATGTAGAATACATGTTGCATGAGGGGAGGGGTCACGTCTGTCCTGGGTCCTGCTGTGTCCCAGCTTTTACCACAGAAGTTTTGAATGCATTGGAATAAATTAAAAGCAGCTTTAATACATTAATCGATTACTCTAACAAACATTGATAAACACGTTACACGTTTCCTCTACTATCTGCAAGTAGAATGCTTCTATTTTGTATGATTTGGCAGGCTATTTTTTGGGTCTGGGGATATTCAAAATTTTTTCCGTATAAATTAGTGGTAATAGTGTTCCCAGATGCAAGACAACCTATGAAATCATGCCAAATAGTCACATTCTACTCTAAGATGGCAGGTGAAACCTGCGTAAGAAGAAGAAAATGTTAATGTGTAACATATATAATATCTATTACATATTATAAATATGATATATTTATCCATATGAATAATATAGCGCTTATTCAAAACCTTCAAATCATCCATAGAAGGAAATACATTTCCTAGCTTCTGTGTCAGCACCATCACCTCAGACCCAAGCTGTGTAGAAATAAACCCTGTACAAAGCAGAAACAACCTGATTGCAGTAGTTCCCTAACTCCAGAACATTCCTGAGCACTGTTAAATTTTCCTGGGGAGACAGTTTAAAGGAGGTGCTCCAAGGATGTTAAGACTCCCTACGCCTCCTAATCAGCCCCAGCATTTTTCACACCAATTTAGGGGCTAGGTATGGGAAACATTGGGGCTTATCTAATTCTTTCCTTTTGTCATAGTTTCACCCTGATTTTTTCCTCTGTTCTTGTTTCTTAAATTAATTTATTTTTTTACATTGCTGTTCATTTTTGGACAGTATTTGCTTTGTCCCCTCAGGTGTAGTCTCTGCGGTTCTCCCACCACCTTTGCCCCTGTGATAATCACCACAGTCCCTGTGCTCTTCCCACCCCTATTTTGACCCCTCTTCCCTCCGCTCCCCTCCTGAATGCCTGACATCTATGGTTCTGTCTGTCCCCTAACCCCTTGGTTTCTCTATATTTTGCATGTAAGTGAAGCCATCTGATAGTTATCTCTCTCTGTTTTCCTTAAGACCTGGCTCTCTCCTTCAGTGTGAGGAGCCGCTCCCGGAGGTGCGTCAATGGCCCCTTGCAGGAAGAGGCCCGGAGGCGGCTGTGGGCGCTGGAGAATGAGGACCAGGAGGTGCGTGCCCTGTTTAAGGTGAGCGGGGGCAGAGTGGCCCACCTGAGGCGGCCTCACGTAGGCACAGGCTCGCCAGCACCATGGCCAACGCCAGGAGCAAAGTAGATGCTCAAGAAAACCTCTGACCATTGAAAGGATGAGCAGAAAACGTACACCTCAGCTCAACAGGAATGGGGCAATGCCTGGGGCGGCGAGTCAGAGAAAACCACTTCCTTATCTGCCACTGTTAATTGTTGAGCCTTCAACAAGTGACTTAATTCACCTCTGTAGACTGGGAATGGGTGTAGTACCTATCTCACTAAGGATACATTTTAAAAAAATGTGGTAAATCTGAGTTTGTTATTTTTTTATTGTGATCAAATATACTTAATATAAAAATTTCAATTTAAGGACTTTTAAGTGTGCAAGTCAGTGGCATTAAGTGCATGCACGGCCCTGAGCAACCAGCACCACATCCAATTCAGGACTTCTCCTGCACTCCAAACCGAGACTTTATACCTGCTGAGGGATAACACTCCTTATCTCTGGCCCTCAGCTACTGGATGTTCCTTTTTTTTTTTTTTTTAAAGTAACAAAATTGTCAGTCAAATAATACCTGTAAATATCAGGAGAGGAGGAAAAGGCTATAAAGTAAATAAACCAGTTCTTCATCTTTCATACTAGATACATAATATCTTTAATCATTAAACCAAGGAAGAAGGGCATGATCAAATGATCATGCTCAGAACTGATGTGAAAAATGGTCCAAAATGGTTGAAACTTGCTGCTATTGAGTTGGGGAAGGAGACTATGGCTTCATAAATCAGCATACATTCTGGTTATCTTTATAGTTTCCATACTAACTTCATATAAACTGTCACATATATAGTGTCTGGTTTGTTGAGGGGAGTAAATGAGAGAGAGCATGCCTGGAGAGACTGTGGTATTGTGCCTGTGTGGTGATATGTGTTCCAGAAATAAAGGGAGAATTGGTTTTTGTCTGTAATCTCTGGAATTCAAGGACTTGGAGGCACAAGCTGGTAATTGTCACCAGAGAGTGTCTTTTGCTTTGCTTCCTGCCTGGGCAAGGTCAGGTTTGGCCGGGACAGTCGACCTGCTAGGCGGAGGCTGCAGAGGGGCAAGCTTGTGAGCCCACACTGAGGCCTGGACACAGCTTACGCACAGGTGATGTTGGACAAATTTATTGGTTGTCTGTGCACGACCTCCTTGATTATAAAACAGGGGTAATGCCATTGCCTATTAAATGCCATTGGTTATTAAATCCTAGATGCCATTTGTTTATTAAATGTGCCATTATTTTATACATCTCTAAAAAAGAAAATGAATGCTACTAGTTAAATATGATGCCATGCTTCCTTATCTTTTATTTCAGAAATGGTTAAGTGGGATGAAAGTGTGTTCTTAGAGGGGATTAGTGCTGTAACCATACCCTCTTCATAAGGCGTTGTGACAGCCAGCGAGGCCTTGCCCGTCAAGCTCTTGGTGAAGTGCTTGGTGTGTAGTGAGTTCTTTGTAAATGGATTTTTATCTAGAACCCCTTCTCTGATTACCAGGTTCTACATCTTCCAAGGACTTGGGCCTCCTGGGGCCTCATGTGGCAGAAAGAGTTTGATTTTGCTGACCTAGAGAATATTCTTTCAAAACTTTCTATCCACTTCTTTCCCCAAGGTGTCTCAGGACAGGGATCCAGGGGTTGATCTTTGATGGCGAGACCTGGCCTGGGGGGAGAGGGACTTTCTGGCCATCGCTCATTATAGTCAACTCCAGAAGCTTGGCTAAGCAACAGAGAGCTTCTCAGGGGAAAACCAAGTGTGGACATCAAGTCAGGCCTGTTTTACTCGATATTAAAAATGGAGGGCTTGCAGCTTTCCTCCTGCTCTGCTTGTGAGCATGTAAATTGGCACAGCCTTTCTGGAGGGCAGCTTGGCTTTTGCTTTTTAGGACTGAAAATATACATATGCTTGCATTCACAGTTGCACTTCTTAAAATTACTCACTCCAAAACAATCAAGGAAGTGCCAGAGATTTAACTGTTGGAGATTTATCACAGACATGTTTAGGATATTAAAAAATTGACAACATGTTGATTAACCTGACACTGATGTTTGATATATGGTAGTTTCCCCTTTATCTCTGGGAAGTATTTTCCAAGACCCCTGCTGGATGGCTGAAGTCATCCAGTACAAAACCCTATATACGCTGTGGTTTTCTCTGTACATACACACCCATGATAAAGTTTAATTTATAAATTAGGCACAGTAAAAGATTAATGCCAATGATAACAAAATAGAACAAGGTGAATGTGGCCTCTTTCTCTCTCAAAATATCTTATTGTTTATAATATTTTCAGATCATAGTTGACCTCAGATATCAGAAACCTCAGAAATCAAAGCTGATTTGGGGCTGTGCTATTTGGGACTATGGTATGAGGAAAGTTGCTAAGAGAGTGAATGCTTAAGCATTCTCATCACAAGGACAACTTTTTCCCTTTCCTCTTTTCTCCTTTTGTTTCTCCTTTGTATGAAGAGATGGATGTAGCTGAACCTATCACAACAATTTCACAATATATGTAGTGAAACCATCACTAATGCAGTGAGTCAATTAGTTCTCAATAAAACTGAAAAAAATGTAAATTACTCAAATGTCTAGCCATCAGGAAAAGGTAATAATTATGTTAATGCAACAAAAGCATATGTAACCATTAAAAGTAATATATATTATTTCATGACATTGGAAAATGACTCACAGGATATTGTTTGTTTGGTGCCAAAAGAAAACCATAGAATAATTTGTGTCATGTAGCTCTAATAATATACAAATAGTTACATAGAACTCATGGGGTGGGGGAAGTTGAGAGTGAACAAGGTGTTAACAGTGATGATCTCTAAAAGAAAGGCTTATGGACAATTTTAACTTTTTGTGCTTTGGTTTTTCTGTCAGCCCACTTTATAAAAAACATCATTAGACATAAAGTCAAATTTGATTCCAAGATGCCTTCTGTGACTCATCCTCCTCCCTTGACCATGCATCTTTTTTTTTATTTTTAGCACAAAAAGTAGCATTCTCTGTTCTTCTGTCTACACTCTGATTTCTTTTTGTTGCTGTCCTACTTAACAATGTATATTTGGAGTCTGATTCAGTACACAAAGAGCATCTTACTTTTTTTTTATAGTTGCATAATGTTGTATTATTCCCTTGTAGGGTGTATTGGGTTGTCGGAAAAGTCATGACATATTTTTGTTTGAAAAACCTAGGAAAAAAAATCATGGTTTATCCAACAACCAAATACATAATTCATGTTAACCAGTCTCCTGCTGATGAACATTTAGGTAGTTTTCTTTCTTTCTGGTGATGTAAAAATCAACGCCATAAACCAGAAGTTCACACAAAGCATTTTGTACAGATGGGTATTGTCCTAGGCCACGCTGTCATCCAGCTGACCTGCTTTTCTCTCTGTTCAGGACCTCTCAGCAAGGTTGATGAGTGTCCAGTCCCAGAAGGCACAGTTTCTCATCACTTTCAAGACCATGGAGGAAATCTGGAAGTTCTCCACCTACCTTAACTTAGGTAAGACCTGGAGAAGGCAAGTGGAAAGCATTTACTTCACAACTCAGTCAACTTGTAGGGCTTGGTGTTAAGGAATTGGTCTGGCTCTAATATGGATGGTTAACTTTCTTTTTTTTTTTTTTAATTTTGTTTTTGTTTTATTTGTTTCTTTTTTTTTTTCTATTTATGCATACAAGGGCTGGGGTGTAGGCCAGAGGTGAAGGGAGGTGAGAGGATTCTCCAGAGAGAGTGGGGAGCAGAACAGGCAGACTGACTCAAATACACTGCTGAGGGGAGCAGTAGGCAAACAGGAGGGGTCTGTTGTGCCATGTGGGTCAGCTCTCTGGCCGGGAATCGAACTCATGCTGCAATGGTTTCCCATAGCTTCATAGTGCTGTGCCACCAGGGAGGCCCCTGGATGGTTATTTTTTGAAATATCACAAACTTTTTGGAACTAAACCAAAGCAAACATTAACTGCAACTCTAAAATGCCATGGACAACATTTGTTTTCAGGGAGACTTCTTCATTAAATAATCAATTGACAAAGTTACAGATCATCTACTAAGTTCAAAGTACTGAGATATATGCAAAACTGATGGTTGTAAAAAAAAGGAAAAAAAAAAAAAGAGCTAGGCTTGAGTAAGGCCAAAGTAGCTGTTCAAAATAATAAAGTTTGGGATACTTTATCTTAGGTCTTTGGGAAAGAGAATAAGAAAGAGATGGGAGAATTATCTGTCAAAGGGCTTTCAGACTGGAACTTTTTCTAGAAGGTAAGGAAGGATGTGGTGGGGAATGGCCCACTGCCTTCTCTCCAAAGGTGAAAAGGAAGTTTCTGTTACAAATAAAAGTCAAGCATAGAAAGGGAAGCCCCTTTGACTTAACTGGTTTTATATCTCCCAGAAAATGCTGCTTCTATGCAGACTTATACAGGAGGTGACCCTGTGTGGGTCTGGAAGTTCAACGTGGCCCTTGGTAGAAGGCTTACTTCTCTGCTGGTAGCAGTGGTGATTTTCTGCTCTCCACACCACACCTCTCCTTTTGTGCTGATTAGAGATTCTCACTCTTTAAAGTGTTCTCCCTGGACTAGCAATATTGGCATCACACTGGGCTTGTTGGAAAAGTGGAATCCCTGGCCTGCCCACATCTGTATTTTAATAAGCTCCCCAGGTCGTTATTTGCACTTTAAAGTATGAAGCGCATGATAGAAGGTGCATGTGACCTAAATCAGTACAACAGAGTCAGGATGGAGAGACCAGCTTTTGCCTTTTAAGAAAGAGATGTCTCAAAAGAAGTGAAGTTTAATGCAACCAATTCACATATATATGCATATATAACTGATCATAAAGTTCCATGTATGACTGATCAAATTTTACAGTTTGCATAGCTTCTAGTCTGGTGTTAATGAGGGGGAGCTTAGTGGGCATGGGGTGAAGGGAGGGTCAGAGTGGGATTGCTGAGGTCAGCCTAACTCTTTTGTGGGTTCCAGAGAACCCCTCCCCCCAGCCATGGTCCAGGGTACAGGAATTTGAATTCTGAAGAAGGTAGTTGGCTTTGCTTATGCCATTATATATTGATGGAGGTCCATAATAGGTTGAAAGTGATAAATATCATATTAAAATGACTTGTACATCTCAGAAGATGATGAGAAGAATTGATTCATTCTAGAAAAGTCTAATTACTCCTCTGATGTGCTCTGACTCCAGCTAAGTGGGGTCAGCCTGGAGAGGAGGCTGGGACTTCAGCTCAGCCTCTTGTACACTCAGCTCATGGCAGAGATCCTCCAGGCCCCCTCTTGGCTTGCCTCCTAGGCTATGTGTCTGCATGCCTGGAGCACCTCCTCTTCGACCACCAGTACTGGCTCAGCAGCAGATTGGTGGAGGACACGGAGCTCCAAGTGTCCGTAGATGATAAACACCTGGAAGCCATCTACCTGGGACTCCTGCTGCAGGAAGGTGAGCAGGGAGGAGCGGTGAGGATGGGGTCTTAGCTGGCTCTGTAGCATCAGAGTCCCTAAAGTTCAGATAAAGGGAGGCAAAACCATTCAAACATGAGAATATTCCCACCAACCCACCTCTTACAATATTACTCCAACAGCTCTCTCAGTATAACATTGACACCCTGTGAAGTTATGTTGGCCTTTCTCATGATTGCCCAATGGCAGACCCACTCAGGGAGTCCTACAAGGTGCCCAGGCCAAGGCTCCTCCTCTCAAGAAAATTGAATTGGGGGGGGGGGTTTGCCCAGACTCTGGTATCGTTTGAAAGTTTCCCTGGCAATTCTGATTGCATCCAATGTTGAGAATGACTTCTCAATATAGGGTATATTTTGAGTGTAAAATAAAGTTGCAATGTTTGGATTTTCTGAAGGATTTCATGAGATTGAGGACAGGGATGTTGGGAATTTCTTCAAGTGCTCATCAATCTGTTTGCAAGGAAAGATCTGATCAAGGCCACAGCAGCCCAGTCACAACTGAAAACATAGTGGACACACTGAAAGAGCCAGACTGGGGTATTTTACAAAATGTTCTCTTTATAATTCCATTGCAAAAATTCTTTATGAAGGAAAGAACCTCATATTATGCTACTATACAGTTTAGTCAGAGAAATTGCATTCACCCAAATCAATGGAATTTATTCTTTGTTGGTCCTCAGATGAAGCATGAGGTTGTATCAAGTATGTTTTCTTAAGTTTTTGTTTCTTTTTCTTAAAGATTTATTTATTTATGCATATAAGAACTGGGGTACAGGCCAGAGGTATGGGGGGGTGAGAGGATTCACCAGAGACAGAGTGGGGAACAGAACAAGCAGATTGACTGAAATACACTGCTGAAGGGAGCAGCAGGTGAGACAGGAGAGGTCTGCTGCATCATGTGGGTCACCTTCCTGGCCGGGGATCGAACTCATGCTGCAGTGGCTGCGGATAGCTTCATAGGTTGCGACTTAACCCCTTGTTCCACCAGGGAGGTCTCTGTTTCTTTTTTCTTTTTTTTTCAAGGTAAAGTTCCCATTAAGCCTTATTCTTTTGAATTACTCAGACATTTTGCTGTGTATTTTAAGTGAACTCCCTTTTTTCCTCAGAACCAGTTTTCATGGGGTCACAGGGACCTCCTCAGTGCCATCCCCTCCCTCTAGGGTCTGTACTTTACTCCCAGGAAGAAAAGTATTTGGGCTCCAGATGGAAACATGATATCGTGTGATATTCCCTGTCCACTTCTTGCTACTCCTTGGAAAAGGCTTTTCTCATTACCTACAGGCCACTTCTTCTGCAGAGCCCTGTGCTCAGTGGCTCAGTCAGCTGAGAAGGAAGGAGAGTGTTTGCCGCTCTGCAAGAATGAGCTAATCTCAGTGAAGATTGCAGAAGACGGGTCCGAGTGGGAAGGAATGTCCTTGGTGACCGGCCAGCGGGGCCTGGTGCCTGTCTCAGCCCTGGAACCCCTGCCTCTCCCTTTCCACCAGTGAGTAGCCCCTGCCCCCTGGAGGTTCCCCAGAGCAGACTAGATTTGCATAGGACAGAGCAGGCACGCTTGCAGATATGGGCACCTGTGGTGCCAGGGAGAGAACAAGAGGGGTGGCCTCTTATCTTTCGCTATTTTTTAACAGTCAAGGTTTGCACAGTGTCATGAAATTGGAGACAACTCTAAGTTTCAGATGGACATTGCACCTGGTGTCCAATGTCTCCCAGGCTTGGGGCTGGGGGCCGTTTGGTCAGACTCAGACCCCTTAGCTTTCCACAGACTCTCTTGGTTTCAGGCACCTGTAAATTTTTTTTTTGGAATAATGAAATACACATATGTATGTATAAATACATGCATATATTTTTGGTGCTCTATATTTGTACATAAATCTGTGTGTGTGTGTGTATGCACACATAAATCTGTAAGAATTATGTGTCTCCTGGATAATGAGCTTTAGTATTTCCTAGGTATCATCTTTATACGTAGGGCTACCTGCCACTTAGCACAAAATACTTTTTTTTAAAGGTCTGAGCCCAAATAACACTTAAAAACATCAGCTTCCCTTATATAAGGGACATTTTTCGCACTAAGGTTTGAGAACCCCTAGAAGACACTGTGAATTCCAACTTGCATAGTGAAAATAAATGTCGTCCCAGGCCACGGGCCCTGTGTGTCGGTGGTGGTAGAGAATCTCACAGTGAGGATGGAGCGGGCCCTCCACTATTTAACTGACAGACTAATAGCAGAGGCCGAAACATCTAGGTCTACAGAACTGCTTCCTTTTCACAGTGCCTGGCACAAAGGAAGTTCTCAATAAACATCTGCCACCACTGCAGGAAAACTACCAATACTAATTCCCGTCCCCATTTGTTATTCTAATAGACTGACAACAGCTCAGGGCCATAGTTTTTGAAATCCATGCTTGCAAATCCTGTGTTCCTCTTGACAGGTGGTTCCTAAAGAATTATCCCGGGACCTGTGGCTTCTCCAGGAAGAAGGACTGGACAGACTCCTGTCCCATCGGTATGGCTGAGTTGAAGGCAGCGTTGCTAGGGAGATGATAATACTCTGCCTCCTGATTTTATCTGCAGCCTGGAGTCACTTGATGTGAATTCCTGCGTCACTTTGGCTATTGGCTGGATTTGTAAATAAGTTACTAGTTGACACATGGGTTTTCTTGCCTCTGAATCAAAAGGTCTCAGTCCAGGGCTGTGGCTGGGAATGTCCGCAGGCCCCCGAGGATGCAAGATGGTGGGGATGGCAGGGACCACAGGGGCTTGAAGATACACAGTGGAAAAAAGCCTAGTATGGCCAACTCTGGCTGCAGGAACCTGCTCTCCATCTCTAGTCAAAATATTTTCTAATTTCCATTAGAGATTTGTGAAATTAATCTTGAATTTAGGACGAATAAGAAATAAGAATTTAGGAAGAATTTGACAAATAGTGGGTACTCATTAAATTTTCTTAATAAATGAATGAAATATATATGTATAAAATATGCACATATTTTAGGTTCTCTGTATTTGTATATAAATCTGTGTGCGTGTGTGTGTGTGTGTGTGTGCACACATAAATTCACACGCATATCTGTAAGTATAAAGTTTCTCCTGGTTAATGAGCTTAAGTATTTCCTAGGTATCTTTATATATAGGGCCTTCCCTTACACCTAGCACAAAATACTTTTTTTTTTTAAAGGTCTGAGCCCGAATAACAGTTAAAAAAATAGAAATAGATGGGATTAGGGAATCCAGACATTTCGAGCTAATCGATAACCACTCATAACAAGACTTTTATCTTTCTGAGGAGTTAGGACACAGGGCTGGGCAGTCAGTTCTGGGTTCAGATTCCAGTTCTACAATGTAAAAACTAGAGTGACCTCAGCCAGCTCAGAGTTTCCCCCTTTTAAAACAGCACCACAGAGCCAACTTCAAGTGTCATCCTGAGTGTTGAACTAAGTGACACCTGTAAGCCATTCAGTACATTTTTTTCAGCGTTCAACTAGGTTTAGTTAAGTCCAGTTAAACAGTGTTTAGTGCACTGTAGATTCCACTAACCTACAGAGCAGTGAGAACTTCTCATCATGAAAATGCAATCAATAGAAACTTGACCAGAAATGTCAGGATAAAAATAAACCTGTAACTTTAGCAGAGGAGCTAAAATGGAAACTGAGGCACAGAAGTGCCTTTTTCTCAAACAGAGCAAGATTCCTGAAAAGAAGGGTCACCAGCAGCTGAGAGACTGAAGTGCTCTTTCGGGCTCCTGGGGAGACCTGAGAAGGTGGACATGTGCACTTTGAGCACCGGATGGTACAACAGTCAAGAATGTCATTGCTAGATCCCGCTTGGGCTACTTATTAAGCTGGATAGTGACCGGAGTCCGAGGGGGAAATCTTCCCGATCCTGCTGGGTCATCAGTTTTCTTTTCGAACAGCGACACGAGGCTGGCATGGCTCACTTTACCCCTCTGGCTTTTCCTAATGTTTGATAGAGGGTCGCAGTGGCCACAAGGTTGGAAGGAGCGGAGAGAGAGAGCCTCCAGTGGGGGTCACCCTGGGCTGTGGACTTGTGTTTCCACGATGATGATGGAGGCCAGACAAGGAGGGCACTAGAGTGACCTTTCCAGTTTCCCACATGCTAACCTTTCAGTTCTAAGGTATATCCAGTTTCCTGAGATCATGTCTCCTACATTTGTTAAAAATCCTTTTTACAAAATGATGATACAAGTGGGTGGTAATTCCTTTCTGGAATGTTCGAGTGACTAAATGAAAGGCCAGCTACCCTGTGTCACACTTGCCAATTCCTTTCTTTCCTTTTTTGGGGGGGGCGGGGTGGGGAGAATGGGTTTACTGGTACTTGAAATTCTAAATTCTGGGAAGGCCTCATTTCATATTACAATGAAAACTAGGGGAAGGCATAGCTGTTTCTGCTGATTATTTCACGTGTGTGCTATTCCCTCACAGGCAGAGGAAAATGTAAGGTCTGGAAAGAATATGAGAGGGAAGAAAAGGATGAGCTGAGCTTGCACCAGGGGGAAAGCATTGAGATCGTCGGCTTTGTCATCCCTGCGCTCCAGTGGTTCATCGGGCGGTCGGTGCGCTCGGGAGAGGTGGGCTTCGTCCCCACCAGGAACGTAGATCCTGACTCATATTCCCCAATGTGAGTATGACAGAGAGGCCCTCTGGGGTGTCTTGGAGTGGGGTGTTGTGTGTGTGTGTATGTGTGTGTGTGGGTGCCTTCCCTAGTAGCCCCTCCTCATTCCCAGCTGGTATGCACATGAACTCTGGGATTCCCTGGTAAAACGGAGCCAGAGGCGCACACTCCAACAGCCGAGGCTGGTGAGGAGTGACAGAAAGGACAAGGGTGAGTCGTCAGAGTGATCGGGGATGGAGTTCAGGTCCTTTCAACAGAAGGCCATGCAGGCCTTCCTCCCTGTGAGGAGGGAAGCACAGCCCCGAGGTATGGGGCCTGTGTGGGGCACCAAGGCTGTGGTGTGGTACTTGAATCCTGCCACCCACCCCATCAATCAAAGGCCACATTGAGAGACCTTGGATCACAGCGTGGTGAATGGAGCGTTAGTTCCTCCGTCGGGGTCTGCTCTCTGAAAGCTTAGTGTGTGAAGCAGTGTTGCTCAGGAGACTGGAGTGTGTCTTTTATTCCTCCTGCCTGAGTCCAGAAGGGCTGGGTCTGAGGAATAGAGCCATCCAGGGGACCAACCAGGAGGAGAGGGCCAGCCCACTCCCCCCACCCTGTCCAGAAGGGGCAGAGCTGGGGCTGTGGCCAGTGTCTCCGGATGGGCTTCCTGCAGGGGTTAGGAGGTCAAAGGAAGCCTGTGCTTGGAAAGCAGGAGTGGGAACACAGAGCATCCCTGCTGGGTTATGACGCAGCCCTCCACCCCAAGACAGTGGGCCTGGATTGTCTAAAGGTCTGACAGCCCGGGATTCTGTCCTCTGGAGCTTGGCATTCCTCTCGTGGCACATGGCAGTGTTCTGCTTCCCATACTGGAAGTTCCCTACTTTTTCCTTTTGCATTTTTTTTTGGGGGGGGATGGTTATTACATGGACTTGATTGATGCAATCTATCGGCCTTTGGTGATTGAGTCAAGCTCCAGTCTCTCCAGGGGCTGGGGCTGAAAGTTCCAACTCTCTTTTCAAGGTTGGTTCCCTGGCAACCAGATCCCCCATCTCTAGGGGATTTCCAAAGGTTGCCTCATCAACGTAAATTCAGTTCTGGTTGAAGGGGCTTGTAATGAATAACTCGATGCGGGGCTCACCTTTATGGCAGAGAAGCAATTTCAGGAACTGAGGATATTAATGTGAAAGATGCTTTAGAGAAATATGAAAACAAATGATGCTCCTATCGTTCTTTTAACTTCCAGCGATTTTGGGAGCTGTGAGCCAGAAAACATGGATGGAGGTCATACTATACATTTACTACAAATCATATATCACAGGCAATTTTAATAGGATTCTGAGGGTAGGCATCAGGTTTCAGGAATTATATCTGGATTTCTGCATCTCAAATCTTTCCCCAAAGATGACAGCTCGGTAGCACTCAGTTCACGTGACATCACATTGTCGTTGTCATAGTGGTAGCTGCTACACCGTCACCCTGAAGAGCAGCACCCCTGTTTCACAGCGGTAGGGCCAGACCTACTTCTTTCCAGGGTGGTCACCCAGTGGTCACCTACTTCTTTCCTCCACCTGGTCACCCAGTGCACCAGGGACTGCACATTCCCCAGGGAGGGGACAGTGAGGCAGGAATGGGGTGGGGTGGGAAGAACAGAGAGGGAGCTGACTCCTTGCCTTCCCCAAAGAACTGTCTAGATTACAGACACCCCTGACCCCTAGCAGTCAGAGGAAAGCCCTAGACCTGCCTACAGGTGTGGGGGCTGCGACATATGCGCTTGTGTGCTGTGCCATATCTGGCCACTAGATGTCACTCTTAGTCTATTTTCATTTGGCATCAGGTTTCTGAAGACGCTCCAGCATTCTGCTGGCCTCCATCCCCTCCCCACAGGTCCCTCCTCTGCTTGTGTATTACACCCTAGAGTGTATCTTTGTATATGTGTAGTCATTCATTTATTTATCCTTTAACCAAATTGGCAATATATTGAGAGTTAAATTTCTCAGAAGCTGTTTTCAGTGTCAGATTTAGCCTGTCCCTCTCTTGCATGGGAATGGGCTTTGCTTGTTCACAGGAATGAATTAGTGGATTTCCTTTACTTACAGCACAGGTTGCAATACCCGCCACCTAGTTCCGTAGGTGGAAAACCAGTGCTTAAAGCCTGTGGCAGCCATTCTGTCTGAATAAACATTATAACTGCATTTGACCACAGCGACATTATGAATCTCAGCTTTTGAGGGTGACAGAATGCCACCACCTTCCTTTCTTAGTTTTATGGTTTTAAAAGATAGTTGGCATTTGTGTATGTGTTTTAAGGGGAAAAAAATCTTCAGATGTAGTTGAAGACATCTTTTACCCTTTCCTACTTTTATACTTTGATCCTGTTTCCTGTTCCTTGAGGCAAAATATTTGAAGTTGATATGTATTTTTTCACTTTTCATTCTGATACATTTTAAAGATAGGATTTGTTCATGAATAAAACATTCTATAGTTTTGTGTATTTAGAAATTTATACAATGTATTTCTTGCAACTGCTTTTTCCAGATGCCATTAGAAATTTATGCTTTATTCACAGTGTAATATAATTTGCTTTAATAAAGTATTACTTAAAAGAAATTTATATACTTAAATATCTAAATTAAAAATGAGTAAGAATGAAAATCACTCAAAGCTAGGGGGAAGAAAAACAAAATTTGGTATTTCATATGATCGAACGTTGAAAAGTTTCTGTTTTTGCTATATCCCCACTCTCAGGCTTCCTATCGTGTCTGTATAAATCTCTTTCAGTGGCATCTGTTTTTGCTGATGAGAAGTCTCATAGTCATTTCTTTGTAGGTAGGCAGCGTTTCCCCTGACTGGTTAGTGGGTTTTGATTTTTTTTTTTTTTTGGTTTTCTCTTGATTATTGATGCAATTGTTATATAAAAAGCAATTCTGTTACATATACAGCAAACTGTCCACCCCCTACTTCATAGTGTATGGGTTCTAGTAATTTTATTGGTGGAGAGCTGTAAATTGTAAAAATCTCTCAATCTTTAGTTTTTGTCTTAAAAAACTGTCAAGTAATAATTTAACTATGTATAGAACAATACCTTTCTAGTGTAGAGGGAATAATAAATTTTCAAACCTGTTTTGCCAAGGCCTTGTGATTCTGCTTAGCCTTTTCAGAGTCAATTTTTCTTTTGTTGGTTATTTTATTGCTTACTTGCTTCTTCATTAATTTTATAATTACCTTGTCCTTTTCTTTCTTTGTTTATATTTCCTTATTTATGTTCTTAAACCTTTACATTTTACTCTTTCATACCATAAATTAAACAGTAAGTGATTGGACCCTGAAAGAAGGATTAAGACAAAGAGAAAACCTGAAAAGTTGATAACCTCCAAGAAATGAAAATCATATTTAAAATTAAATTATTTTTATTTATTTTGCTCAGGATTTGGTGTACTTCTTCAACTTGAAGACGCATGTCTTTCTTCAATTCTGGAAAATTCTCAGTCATTCCCCCTTTGAATGTTGCCCCTCTCTCATTCTTTTTAGCCTCTCTTCTGGAATTCCCACTAGAGGTATGTTCAACTTCTCGTTCTAGCCTCAATCTTGCTTAATGTGTTCTTTTATGTTTTTCATCTTTTTGTCACTCCAGATTATCTTTTGGGTGATTTCCTCAGCACAATCTTCACTTTCACTAATTCTCTCCTCTGCTGTGCCTTCAGTGTCCACACTTTTATTTCCATGTCTAGAATTTGTATTTTGCTGTTTTTCATGGATGCTTGTTTCATTGTAACTTCTACTCATATCTTTTATCACATCATTTTAATCATGCTTATTGTAAATTAAACTTTAGGTTATTGTTACATCTCGATTGTGTGGTGTTAATTCACCTATTTGGGAATGTTTTTTCTTTCTTTTTTTTCAAAGATTTATTTATTTATGCATACAAAAACTTGGGTACAGGCCAGAGGTGCGGGGCAGTGGGGTGGGGGACGAGAGGATTCACCAGAGATAGAGTGGGGAACAGAACATGCTACTTTACTGATATACAATGCTGAGGCGAGCAGCGGATGAGACAGGAGAGGTCTGCTGCACCTTGTGGGCTTGTTCTCTGGGTGGGGATCGATCTCATACTACCATGGCTGGCAATATCTTGATAGTGCTTTGTCTTTAACCCCTGTGCCAAAGGGAGGCCCCTTCATGCTCATTTTAAAGAGGCAGAAATTGGCTCATAGACATTAAGGTGCTTGTGGGTGGCAGAGGCTGGCCAGGCAGAATCCATAGGCCTTGGTCTATAACTCCAACTCTGTGCTGCTGCATGTGGCCATTGGGCACCTGAACATGGAAAATCCCAATCGAGGTGTACTGTCAGTGTAAAAGACACTAGATTTCCAAGACTTTACATATACAAAAAGAAGTAAACTGTCTTGTAAATAATTTTTCCATAGATTACATATCAAAATATTATTTTGGACATGGTGGGTTAAGTAAAATGTGGCATTAAACTTAACTTCACTATATTTAAAATCTTTTAAATGTAGTTATTCATGGTTGGGTAAAGGTCTCCTTTGGGTCTTGAATCCTCATATGAGGAAAGGGTGAGTAATTTTTTAATATAATTGTATCCCATGTTGTACGGGACATACTTATACTAAAAACAGTATTCACTGTTTATCTGAAATTAAAGTTTATTTATTTATTTTTATTTCTTTAGGCATACAAGGAATGGAATGTAGGTCAGAGGTATAGGGGATGAGAGGATTCACCAGAGACAGAGTGGGGAGCAGAACAGGCAGATTGACTGAAATACACTGCTGAGGGGAGCAGCAGGTGAGACAAGAGAGGTCTGCAGCACCTTATGGGTCAGCAACCTGGCCGGGGATCGAACTCAGGTTTCAGTGTTTATAGCATGATGGTGTTGAGACTTAACCCCTATGCCACCAGGGAGGCCCTTCTTGGACACCTTAGATACTTTTGACTTGGGATGTGGTAGATCAGCTGTGAGGTGAGGGGGCAGATGCAGAGAACTTCATCTTTGGCCTGAACTTTATCCCAATCAGCCGTGTCATTGTGAGCTGATTATGCAACATTTTTGAATGCCCCCAAATATAGATTAAAATACCTGAATTTTAAGATTGTGGCAAAGGGTAAATAGAACAGTAAATTCAGGAATGCCTTGCAAAATTTAAGTGTTCTGCACAAATTTGGGATTATCTAATTTTTAGTCTACAGTGACTTTAATTGTAGATTTCATCATATACCCTTTTGAGGATGGCAGCTGGGGTGGTGCTGGTGGTCAGGCTGGAGAGGGGTCAGTAAGCGGGGGTCAGTCAAGTGGGGGTCAGTAAGCATAGTGGGAGGAGTCCCAGCTCAGAGGGCAGAGCACTGCATCATTGCCAGCTCTGTCACCAAGTGATGGCATGACCTTGAGCAGTTCATGTTAGCTGCTGGCCTTCTCATTGCTGGTTTTCAGCTCATTATCTGAGCTGTGGGACAAAGGGTAAGTGGCAGACAATGAAACCCCATTCCAGCCCCTCCTTCAATCCTGCTTTCACCAGAGATGCTCTTCCTATGTCCAGTGCTCCTCCCCTTATCCATGGGGGATGCATTCTGAGATCCCCGTTTGCTGCCTGTAACGGTGGAGAGTACTGAACCCTCTATCTGCTCTGTTTTTTTCCTATTATGACATACAAATGACAAAGTTTAAAATCTAAATTGGGCGTGGTAAGAGATTATTATTTTTTTTTAAGAGGCATGTATTTTTATTTATTTATTTGTTTGTTTGTTTGTTTGTTTGTTTATACAAGCACTGGGTACAGTCAGAAGCGTGGGAGGGTGAGAGAATTCACCAGAGCCAGAGCAGGAAGCAGAGCAGGCAGAAGGACTGAAGTACACTGCTGAGGGGAGCAGCGGGTGGCAGGAGAGGTCTGCGTGCCTTGTGGGGCCCTTCTCCGGTGGCCGGGGGGCAGCTGGGGATCGAACCGGCGCTGCAGAGGCTGCGGGCAGCTTTGCAACCCAGCGCTCAACTGCTGTGCCACCGGGGAGGCCCAAGAGATTAACAACAATGACCAGCAATAAAATAGAACAGCGGTAACAATCTACTGCAGTGAACATCAGTAATGTGGTCTCCCCCACCTCTTGAAATATCTCCTCACATGGATATTTTCAGATCTGGTTGACTGTGGGTAACCAAAAGTGGAAAGTGAAACTGCTGATAAAAGGATAACTGTTGAACTTCTCTACCACTTTCTAGCCACCACTTTTATTCTTCTGGGCCTCAATTTCTCTCTCTGAGAAAAGAAGATAAAAACAGTAAATACCTCATAGGGCAAATTGTATAGAATAAATGAGATTGTGTCTAATTCATATTAAGCTTCCCCTGGCCACCCCCCTCATATTAGTTGTTATTAACACTTTGTAAAAATGGATTCTGAAGTTAAACAAAATCTCCATTTTACATTGAAAGAGATCTTAAAAAATGTTCAGATAGATACTGGTCTAATATTTTCTGAGGCACTTCTACTCTTCCAACTCTTCTATGGTAAATCAGTTTGAATAATTAGTTTATATAATGGAGGGAATAGAAGGATCTCTGTTACTTATAACCAGTTTTCCCCACCCCCGACTCTCCTTTTGCCCACTCTCAGCACTCAGCATGAGATTCCCCTCTCAACACTAAAGACCGTTGCTCTATGTCATGGAATCCCTGTCCACTACGTGACATTGCAGTCAGCCTTTCTTCATCGTTCCTCTAGATGGTGACGCCTGTTCTTGCATTTTCTTGAAATAACCTGACCCAAAAACTTCTTTCAGTGGTCCTTTCCAACTCTTCCATTCAAGACAACCAATTCCTCCATGGGCCATTAAATCTGGCACCACGTGGTTAGCACCACGTGGTCTCAGAGATTGGTTTGAGATTGACATTGAGAAAATGGACTTGGCTTTTCTTAGGAGGCTCAATTTTTAACAGGAAGGGTGCTTTCCATCCCCCTTGGGCTTAATCAGCAGGACTTCATTCTCCAGGACTTGGTGCTAATTGCTCTTCTTTCTTGATTCTGCATAATTTGCACAACAGAGAGGAGACTGATTTCCACCATGGAAAATGGCTGATGGCTGCTCTGTGTCCTTACCTACATCCTAGGGTGAAGGGCGAAGGGGCTGCCTCAGGAGCCTTGCACTGATCCCTGTCCATGTCGTTTGCCTCACAGGAGCAAGAACTCTGCTTTTTTCAGTGATGAAGAAAGATGCTCTCTGTGGGCCCTGGGAAGTGACAGGAAGGCCGAGGGTGCCACCTTCCTCCACACGCTCGCCCACACCGACATCACGTCTGTCCACCGGCTTAGTGAGTGCTTGCTCCTCAGACGCCTTTGAAAGCCCAGGAACTTCAAGAATGTTCCGATCCGGGGAGAGATAGCTCTAGATTCTAACCCCATCCATGACCTTAGGGATAGAACACCATTCAGAGGCTGATCTGGGTCATATTTGATTAGCAGCATTTTCACTTTAAATTTTGGCATTTCTGGGTTATGCAAGATTTGTTGCCTAGAAACTGTGAGATGTGGTGAAACCAACTCTGCTGTCACATGAAGGTCAGCCACCTTGAGCCTTCCATTCTAATCTTGGGGGAAAAAAATCTTCCCAAGAGGTGACTGAGGTCCTTCCTTCTAGGGCTGAAGGCCCAATGACAAAGGGTACCATAGAATTGTTACAGTGAGCAGGAGCCTAAGAGATCATTTCCTCTCATTTTATAGATTGGGAAACTGAAGCCCAAGTGACCCAGAGCCTGAGCCAGGATAAGCCTGGCTATTTTCTAGTCAGGGCAATCCCTACTTTACCACTCTTCCCACCACCAAGTGACATTGGACTATTAGTTACGTTGCAGGTGGTGGCTGTGGAGAGTCAGTGCCTGGGGAGGTTTTCAGCATGTCCGAAGGGCTGGTGGAATGAATGAATGAATGGATGAATGAATGAATGACACCTTTCCCTTACTTTGGGAAAGTCTTCCTGCCCTGTCAGGAGGTACATTCACCACTTACAGTGGTTATGGACAGATTCTTGCTTCTCCCATCTCTTCAGGGGTGGTGATGCTGTGCCCACCCCGGTATGGCTAGGTCAGATGGGTCAGATTTCAGTGGCACAGGCAGAGATTCTGCAAAACAGCCCTCAGCTTCCAGAGCAGAGGCAGCCAGTGGAGTCTGTCTCCATGCCTAGGGAGTATTTGCCATAGCCTTGGTATTTGCGCCCCGCCCTGGTGGAGGTTTCTTCCCACTAGATCCCCATCACCCCTCCGGGTGTGGGTGCTGCCTGGTCGGTGGGAGCTCAGATCTGATAGTCAGGGTGCACCATGGGGTGTATCATTGGTGGGGGCAGCAGAATGGTATCACAGGTAACTGCCAGCTGTTGCTCCAGTTGCTGGGTAGCCCAGGCAGCCCATCGCTTCTTTTCTGAAGACCAGGAATGCGATGCAGGGTGCACCTTCTGTCTGCACAAACTTCCCTGGGTGCCAAGGCAGATGCCACATTCTTTTGGCAAATTCCAGCACCCCCAAGACCTGTCCCCTGGGGACGGACAGCTCTCTGTAAGGGGTGTATTTAGTAGCTCATGTCCCGTCTATGCCCTTGGTGGTCCTGCTGAGAGAACTGGCTATCATGAGAGAGCAGGAGATCCTCAGGGCAGTGAGGGGGGCACTGCAGAAAACTGTAATGACATTCACAGGAGGAGTCTCGCCCAGAGAATAGTGGCAGAAGCTTGACTTGGTGACGGTTCATGCTCATAGGAGAGCCAAGATAGGGCACAGGAACTTGTGCTTCTCTATCAGGGAGAAGTAGACTCTTCTGGTTAGGAACCCCTGTATCCCCCCTTATTTTTCCCTTTGATTTTGCCTTTTCAGTCTACTTTGCTGGCCCCATCTACTAGTAAAGGCTGGTATTTCTCAGGCCTGGTCACACCCCCCACCCTCTACCTCCTCCCACTTGCTTTGCTTTTTTTCCCAAATGCTTTTCCCAGGACCTCACCTGCTTCTTGTAACCTGCTGGGGGTCCCGAGTCTATAGTTACAGGTCTCAGCTTTTTTTCTTGGATACAGATCTACTTCATGCCCTGCCTAAAGCTCCTGCAAGAACCTCCAACTCAAAATGTCTAAAACCAGGCTCAAGACTGTCTCTTTGTTTTACCTCATCCCACTGTGTTACTTTGGGGACAACTCGGAGCCTCAGAGGCATCTTCATTTTCTTCTCTTCATATACACATCTGTTCACCTTGTCCTGTCAGTTTGACAGATCAGCGGCACACATTCAGCGGGTGTCTGTTGAGTGTAGACAGGCGACAGAGGAGGAAGGAGGAAGAAGGGGCATTTTGTGTACACAGAAACGGGGCGGGGGGAAAGGCCTTGTCCACAAAGCCAGCTGCACTTGGAAATGTGTTTCCTGCCCTGCTATGGACTCACTGAGAGCCTGGTCCCCCAGGGTCCCCAGACCCAGTTCTCTGGGCATAGAGGTTGTGTTCCTGGTTTTTCTTCTCTGACTGCGTCTCACTTCTACCTCAGCTCCCAGCTGGAAAGTGAGTGGGTTAAACAAGATGATCTTTAGGTCCTCGCAGTCTGAACTGATGGTGAAGGGAGAAAGCTGCCCAGTCCTTAGAGATGACAGGAGACATGAAAACTGAACACAGAGTATCCTAAGGGGCCGCTGATCTGGGGTACACCTGCTGGCTTGGGCACGGGGCCCACTCTAGTCTGACGCCAGGTTGTCCTTCATCTCTATCCAGGTGGGTTTGAATCCCTCCAGAATCATCCGAACGATTTGAGCGGTGAGTAAAGATCATGCTGCACCTGACCTCCGTTCTTCGGGACAGCATCCTGCCCTCTTGCCCAGAGCTGGCCACTGTGGCTGCAGATGCTTAGGGTTGCCAACTCTGCCTGTCCTTACAGTGCCCCAGGGCTTCAGGGAGGCCAGGCCTGGTGGGGCCTGGGAGGAGCGTCAGCCCAGGGGCTCCAGACGGTCCAGCGGCTCCGAGGACTCCAGTCTAGAGGAGGAGCTCCTCTCGGCTGCCTCAGACACCTACCACCTGCCGGAGCCTGATGACCTCGATGACCCGGAACTGCTCGTGGACCTAAATACTGGTCAGGAGGAGGAGGAGGAAGCGGAGAGCTTCGCCCCCATACTGGCCTTTCTGGACCATGAGGGTTACGCCGACCATTTTAAGAGCCTCTATGATTTTTCTTTCTCTTTCCTCACATCTTCCTTTTACAGCTTCTCCGAGGAGGGCGAGCTTGTGGCCTATCTGGAGGCCTCGAGGAAGTGGGCCAAGCGGAGCCACATGACCTGGGCCCATGCTCGGCTCTGCTTCCTCTTGGGCCGACTGGGCGTCAGGAAGGTCAAACTGTCTCAGGCCAGGGTGTACTTTGAGGAGGCCATCCACATCCTCAACGGGGCTTTTGAGGACCTCCCCCTGGTGGCTGCGCTCTACATCAATTTGGCTGCAATCTACCTGAGGCAGAGGCTGAGGCATAAAAGCTCGGCCCTGCTGGAAAAAGCCAGCACACTATTGGCCTGCTTGCCTGACCGAGAGTCCAGTGCCAAGAATGAGCTGGACATGGTGGCCTATGTGCTGCGGCAGGGCATTGTGGTGGGCAGCTGCGTCCTGGAAGCCAGGGCATGCTTCCTGGCCATCCGACTGCTCCTGAGTCTTGGGCGGCATGAGGAGGTGCTGCCCTTCGCAGAGCGTCTGCAGCTGCTGTCTGCACACCCTCCTACCTCGGACGCCATGGCCGTTATCTTGAGTTTTCTATATGACAAGAAATATCTTCCACACCTAGTAGTGGCCTCTGTGCGGCAACGTGGGGCCCAGAGCACCCAAGCTATCCCTCTACCTATTTGGCAGGCCCACCTGGTCCTCCAGAACACCAGCAAGCTCCTTAGTGTGCCCTCAGCAAGATGGGGCGAAGTCTCCGCCCTGGCCTGCCCAGCACTGAGGCAGGTGCTGGCCGCCTGTGAGGAGCAGGCTGATCGGAGCACCCAGAGGGCTGTGTGTCTCATCCTGTCCAAAGTGTACCTCCAACACAGGTGTCCTGATGGTGCCATCCACTACCTGAGCCAGGCCTTGGTGCTGGGGCAGCTGCTGAGTGAGTATGAAGCTTTTGAATCTTCCCTTTGCCTGGCCTGGGCCTATCTCTTAGCCAGTCAGGCCAAGAAGGCTGTGGACATCCTAGAACCGCTATTATACTCCCTGAGGGAGACAGAAAGTCTGACCCAGAAAGGAGTGGTCCAGAACCTCTTGGGACTTGCATTTCAAGGTGAAGGCCGGGTGAACAGGGCCGCCAAGTGCTACCTGCGGGCCCTGAACAAAGCCCAGGAGATGGGGGATGTGAGGAATCAGGCAGTGACTTTGGCCAATCTTGGCCACCTGACTCTCAACTCCGGGGCTCAGCAGCTGTCCAGGGACTACCTCCTGCAGGCTTCCCGGCTCTATTCTGAACTCCCCGCCAGCATGGAGACAGACATGGAGTTAGTACAGATGCTGCTCTGGTTGGCCCAAGTCCTTGTGTCTGGACACCAGGTGGTCAGTGGCCGCCTGTGCTATGAAGTGGCATTACTGTTCGGCTTAAAGCACCGGCACTTGAAGAGTAAGTATGTCCAGGTTGCTGGCAAGTCTTAGAGAAAAGTCTTAGAATGTGTCTTGCTGTGTCCTGCCTCCAGTCATCTCATTCCTGTCCCTGCTTTATGTTCAGGTCAGCTTCAGGTCACCAAATCCCTCTGCCATTTCTACAGCTCTGTGTGCCCCAACCCCGAGGCATGCATCATCTACCACGAGCACTGGCTGGCCCTGGCCCAGCAACTCAGGGACCGGGAGATGGAGGGAAGGCTGCTGGAGTCGCTGGGGCAGCTCTATCGGAACCTGAACACGGCCAGGTGAGTCTGGGCCAAGTCAGAATATTTTCTCTCAGGAAGTCAAGTCCAAAGGCACACGGCACATTTATGGCATCATGGAAAAGAACACTGGCTCTGCAGCACCATACGAGCCAATCTGGTGCCAGGCATCACTAATTAGCTGTGCGGCTTTGGGCCAGTTATTGAATTTCTCTCTGCCTCAGCTTCCTCATCCATCAAAGGAGAATAACCGTGGCATCCGCTCATTGGTGTTATATGAGGAGTAAATGAGTTCTTGCATATGGAAGACTTGGAACAGGGCTCAGTGGTGTTGGTCATAATATAATTCTTTGTATGTTTCTATAGCAACCCATCATGTGAGCATGGCTGAGGGTGCAGAAGTCGAGAGGTGGCAGTTACACAGGACTGGAAGCCTCCAAGGAGTGGCCTTAGCTGAGGGCAATTGGCATTGGAGAATTAAATTATAAGTTATACAATTAGCCCACTGAAAGCAGGGGTATAGAATTTCAGAGAAGTTAGGTTAGGACCTTATTCTTAGAGTGAAACTGAAAACTATGAAACTAAATTTATATTTACCTTTTAGTTAAGAAATTAGGTTATAATTGCAACTAAATCTTAGAATAAGCAAACAACAGGAGCAGTGCTGACTTCTTAGCCTGATTTGTTGACAAATATATTTGTATAATAGCATACCCAGACATCCTTGTCTTATGACTGGCTTTTCAGCACTTTCTTTCTTTAAAAGGCTCATTTTTGCAAAAATACAACACATTTGACTGTCTTATCCAAAGATATCTTTTAACCCTTTGATATTTCAGTGTTCTCATCTGAAACAGCCTTCTATCTTTTGTTGATTTTTCTCATCTCCTTCTTTTGCTGGTCTAATCTGCTTGATAGCATGGCCCTGCAGTTCTGTTCTTTAACAAGCCTTTAATTGATTCCATAAAGTCCTACATGGTTTGCAAGATATTCAATTTCACTTTGCAACAGATTAGCATTGTATTCATAATTATGAATGACTGCTAAAATAGAGCAGGGATAATTGTTAGTGTTGAGCCGAGAGGTGGTTGAGCAGAAGCAAATTAAATGACAATTTTTTTTTTTCCAGCAACCTGGTAATCTTGGTTCCTCTCTTCCCTCTACCTCTCCATTCTGTCCCTGTCCTGTTCCCTTACCCTCCCCCCTTTTACAAGAAACTGGTGTCACCTAAACCTTCCATTGGCTTTGTCTTCACCCCAGGAATGGAGTTTTGATTGCGGAACATTCTAGGGGTTTGCATGGTTCTCGAGCAGATCCAGAAGGCAGGCCCAAATGACCCTTAGAGATGAAATAGTCAAGTCCAGTTTGGGGCATCATCGGGATGGGTTTTGGTAAAGTTGGATTTTAAGGGACAGAAGCGAGGATAAAATAGGTGTCAAACTTATTACCACCTCCGGCTGTGTGAAAGATGTCTCAGATTAATCTGGGTCATCACCTAACCCACTGCCACTCTTTGCTCATCACCCTCCCTGACACCTCCAGTTGCTGAAAACCACAACCCCCAAGGGGAAGCCAGAGGAACAACCCTGGACACTGTCAACACTGTGGAGGCCTTCCTTAAACAGTGTGAGAATCACTGGGGTAATAGGGCAGAGGTGAGGACTGGGCTGTACTTGACCCAGAAATGACTGCGAGACAGAATCCATGGAATGGGGAGAGGAGCATCTAAAACTGAATTACATGTCCTAAACAAGTTACTTCTCTTGTTTGCTCCATTTTAAAGATAAATCAAGGTGCCTTCCAGTTCTAAAGTAGTGGACTGAGGACCACCTAACTATGCTATTCTGACCCTGGAAATAGCCCTGTTAGAATTAGAATTCTTGCTGCCTTGCAGAGTCCTGGATTATGGATGTAGAGTATTACAGCTGTGGGTCTTCTAGAGGGCCTCAGCTTTCAATATTTTGAAAGACTCCGCAGTAGGCTCAGAAGGTCCTGATGTAGTGACTGTAAACAGCATGAGGCAGAAGTTGTGTCAAGCACAGAATAGAGGAGACAAATAATACACGTTGCTGTGGGACAGCCAAGTTGTTAGTTAATTGCAGTTGACTCTTGAGCAATACAGGGGTTAGGTTCACCAACCTCCTGCACAGTAGAAAACCTATATGACTTTTGATTCTCCCAAACTTAATTACTAATAGCCTGCTGTTGACCGGAAACCTTACCAGAAACACAAACAGTTCATTAACACACTATATTGATTTTTACTGTTCGTTAAGTGGAGTGCATCATCAAAAAGGCCTTCACCCCAGTCACCTTCACACTGAGTAGGCTGAGGAGGGGGAGGAGGAAGGAGAAGAGGAAGGAGAAGCAGGAGAGGCAGCCAACTCTGTATTTTACAGAAATACATCATTATTTCTGTCCCAGTCCTTCCACTGCTTGCTTTAGATTCAGGGCCTGAATCACAGGAGGGCCCACGTCATAAAAGAAATCATGATCAGTCTTGACCCATCGAGCCCTCCTGCCAGATTGTCTGCTGGCAGTTGTGTCCTGGCGCTGAAGCTTCTCCGTTCTCTCCCTCATGGTCCGGCTCGGGTTCCCCAGCACTTGTCTCCATCACGTCTCCTGTGACTTTCTCGGGTGTGGCGTCTCTCCACGTGTAAAGGGGTACTAGCAGTTAAATCTGTGTTGTTCAAGGTCAGCTGTAGTTGATCTACTAGCTCACAGCCTTTGAATTCCAAGTATATGCTGATTGACTTCCATAGAGGAAATTAAGATGGGAAATGGGGACACTTAGCTGGAGGGGGTCCCTGAATTCTTTGCTTAAGGCTCAGGCATGATAAAAATGATGCTTAATGCTTAGAGGCAGGTGCCCTATAGTGGTAATTACAGTAGTGAGAACCTGTTAGGAGAACTTCAGATGCTACCTAGAATCCTACCTACATAGTACCAGCTACACCCTTTCTTAAGGATAAAGAGCCAAGTGACAGTGAATTAGATAGTAAATTAAAATACCAGGGACTTCCCCCCCTAATAGAAATAATATTTTTTCTCCAAAATAAAAGTTATTTAAAATTATATTTGCTGATGATAAAATAATTAAACCATTATTAAAAGTTATAAGTTGAAAAATAACTTAAAGATTCCCCCCCCAACTCTCCTTTCCCCAAAGCTTCCCAGAAGATTTAAACATACCCATCAAGAAATATTTCATGCACAGGACAAGTGTATGTGATACATATTCTATATATCAAATATGATATATATAACATATACACACACAAAATGCTCATTTATAACGTTTCTTAAGTGGAATATGATAAAAGTTCTGTTATGCAATATTCTCTTCTGTTACTTGTTTCTTGCACTTAAAAACATCACGATGAAATGTTGATCTTTTTATCACCTGGTGGGGGGCTTCTAATATATCAGGAACTGAGGTAGCTGGAGAGGAATGTAATAATTTGGAAAAAGATTCCCACGGCACTATCTCGACATGGAGCAGTCCATCCTCTGTGGATGTGAGTGTGGCATCATTACAAATATTCAAGCAGAGCCTGATTATTCAGAAATCTTATTGAAGACTTTCCCGAATTGAGCTTTTAAATAATAGCTTTATTGAAGTATATGCACATACCATGAAATTCAGCCTTTGAATAAATGTACAGTTCAGTGAACTATACAGTTAGCACACTCACAGAATCCTCTAAATGTCAGAATACATTCAGTGCCTCACAAAGGAAACCCTATTCCCACTAGCAGTCATTCTCCATTAACCCACGCCCAGCCTGGCGCTGGCAGCCACTGCTCTACTTTCCGTCTCTGTGGATTCACCTCTTCTGGACGTTTCATGTAAATGGATACATGTAAGATGTGACTTCCGTGACTGGTTTAGTCACTTAGGGTAATTTTTGAGGTGTATTCATGTTGTCACATATATATGTATTTCATGCCTTTTTATTGCTGAATAATATTCATGGTAGATTGGTTCTTTTATCATAAAAATTCCCTCATTATCTTTAATGACAATTTTGGAATTTTTACCTTATTAGTCTAGCCATTCCAGTTCTCTTCGGTTGATGTATCTTTTTTTTAACTTTTATGGAAACTTATATTTTTTTCTTGTGTCTTTGAATCTAAAGTATCTTTTGTAGACAGCTTAAAAACGCTCATTATGCCAATCTTTTTTCAATTTTATGTTTTATTAATTTTTTTTTTACATCGTAGTCCCCTTAATTCTTTCATCATCATCTCACCATGATCCATCACCATATTCCCTTGAGCTCTTCTCTCCCTGTTTTGACCCCCTCCACCCTCCCTTGCTGCATGTCTCAGATCTATGGTCAGCTTGATAGTTTTGTCTTTTTCTTGATCTTTGGTTTGGTTTCTCTATATTCCACATATAGGTGAAACCATCTGGTATTTACCTTTTTCTTTCTGGCTAATTTCAGCTAACATAAGCCATCCTATTGAATGGGAGAAAATATTTGCACACTGTACAACTGATAAGGGACTGATATCAAAGATCTACAAAGAGCTTACATAACGCAACAAAAACAAAGCAAACAACACAGTCAAACAATAGGGGAACCAAATAAGAGATCAGGGAAAAAAAAAAAGACAAAACTAGCAGGCAACTATAAATTGGAGACATTCAGCATGGGAGCGGGAGGGAGAGCATAAAAGACCATGGTGATGGTTCACGGGTAACTTGGTGGTAGGAATTTTGTGGAGACAACACCTGAGAAGAGAAATCAAACATTGTACAAAAATGAACAATGATGTAAAATATGTCTATATATAAATATTTAAAAATAAATGGGCAGAAGAACTAAAGAGACACTTCTCCAAAGAGGAAATGCAAATGGCCAACAGGCATATGGAAAAATGTTCAGCATCACTTATGATTGGGGAAATGCAAATCAAAACCACAATGAGATACCACCTCACTCCAGTAAGAATGGCATATATCAAAAAGGCCAGAAACATCATTCTGCCAATCTTTGTTTTTTGACTGAAGTATTTGACCCATTTACATTTAATTCATTTGCTTTTACTAATAAGGTATGGTTAATAGCCTCCTTTTTGCCATCTATTTTCTCATTGATTACTCTGAGGATTAAAATTACCATCTTAACTTTTGACAATCTCAGGAGTTTCCTAGACAGGCACACAGTCCTGCATATGCGTGTGGTGTTCTAGATTCCAAGAATAGGCAGTTTTTCAAAGCCTAATGAACATTTCGTTTTCCCTTTTATTTTTGACTTTTTAAAAATCAGCTTCTTCTTTGCTCCAAATGCTTCCACCACCTTGGGCAGGAGCCATGTTAAGCAATTGTTGTTGTTGGTCTTTTTGGACAGATACCCCAGGGGAAAGGGGAGTCAACACAGAGAGAGCTCTGGGTTAACAAAAACAAGTTCTGTGAGTGGAGGCTTTCAGGGAACTTCCAGACAGGTCAAATAGTGACAATACAATCCCCTGGGGACAGAACTTTGGGGATTTCCAACCCCTCCCATGGTTGCTGCTAGCGGTTTTCCCAGCTACTGGAATTGCAAGACTTTTGGTTTTAAAAGTCACAGAGCTGCAGAGAGGTGATAACCCTAAAGGAAATTAAAAAAGCAAGACAACTCAATATTCTGAGAATGATTCAGCTTTTTTCTTGAAAAAATGTTCCTCAAATTATTTCAAGTGTTTGGTTAATTTCTAGTAGTTCTGAACGTGTTGATCTTGACTTTTTTTTTTTTTTTTTCACCAGTATTATCATTGCTTTTACTGGGGAGTGAAGTTTTGGAGGTCTTGGAAGTTGATCCATGCTAGGGTATTTTAATACTGTATTTTAATCTATAGTGCTAAAGTCAGAGATTGTTGTTTATTTAATTAGGAGGAAGTAAACATCCACTTCTGCTTTACCTACTGACCCAAGAGGGAAAACTAGACTAGAGGGAGAAGGGAAATGCCTCAGGTGCCACGTGAAGCCCTCACAACCACAGGGTCCTCATTTCTTTGTAGAAGGCTCATGAAGGAGAACATGCTATAATGCTGTATCTTAAAATTTTTTTTATTGAATGTTGGTTTATCACATTGTATAATGCTGTATGTACTTTTAGTCTGTTTAAATCACCTCCTTCTGCAGAGTATTTGAGAAAAAAGGAAAACCAAAAGAACAAAGACCAGTTAACAGACACAGAGAAACAGGTGTGTCCATGCACCTGGAGGAGGTAACTGTAATTTAGCTCTAAGCTTCCTGGTAGCTGAGGTGAGAAGGGGAATGCTGTAAGAGGTTTTCCCTGTCTGATAAAAGAACTTAAACAAAAGTATCTGCAGGAGTATTTTTCCCCCCTGGCACTGAGTTGTTCTAGGAGGAATATATTGAGTGGGTTTTGATGTCATGGATGGATTTCTTCAAAGGATTTCCATTTGCACAAAACTTGAAGTCATCGCAAGCAAAGGTCACAAGTATTCACGGGAGAGACGGTGGGCATCTGAAGGGCAGGATTCGAGGGAAAGGGGAGAACACTTTCAGCTAAGGGTGGGGAATTCTGTCAGGGAATTCCAGGAAGGCATGAGACTGGGGATCAGGCTGATTGGTGGCTATCCCACCATGCTCCTCACTTCTTTTGACCTACAGCCTTAGGGGTGACTAGAGGAACTGGGGTGCTGGCCCTTTCCAGGCCAAACCATTGACTCATTTGGTGTGTCAGACAGCAGAGATTATTGATTGACAGAGGTGAACAAATGGGGTGATGAGTGATGATAGGAAAGAACCAAAGGAGTTGCCGACTACCTCATAATTTAAGACCATAAAGACATTGTGTTTTACTGGAGGTCATGGATGAGGTGTGAATCTTGGCAGGTGGCAGTGGTCTTTGGGAAACCCTTCAGTGCTCTACAAGTCTTGTTAGTGCTTGTGAGTAGCTGGGTCTCTATAAGCCCTCCCCCACTCCCTCCCTCCCCCCATGGGAATATTTCCTGGAGAGAGATACCGATCTTTCATTCACAGACATAGTGATCTAAGAGAGAAAATAATCCAAGAAACAAATGCCTGCACTTTGAGTTGGCTTCTATACGAATCCAAATCTTGCTTCTTGGGGGTCTGGAGAAAATTGCCTAAAGGTCTCCCAGAGCAGAAGTGGGAATAAATACAGAGCAGAAACCAGAATTAGGATGGTGCGCCAGGGTCCTGTCTCCATCAAATCTTCCAGTGGGGGTGGGGAGAGTGATGGAAGCCAGTTGTGCCAAGGATCTCAATACTGCTTGAGGTTTGGGGGTACAATGTGGATGAGAGAAGGGCAGGGCTTCCTGTAGTGAGAGAACTTTGGATGACCTAGCTCCTCCAAAGAGGTGGGTGAGGTCCAGCATTGCATGCAGTAGTCCAGGTCACAGCCCATTCTCAGCAGCAGCCTGGTGAGAGGGTGACAAGTGCCCATCCTGACAGCATTAAATCTTATGTCAAGAGTAAGCCTATAGAGAACATCAAGTTCTTTCTTCTCAGAATTAATAAGGGTCAAGAGTCTGGAACTTTCTCCAGAGCTCCAATGGCTGCCTCATTCATAAGACGTCTCAGGCAAAACCTTCTTATTCCCTGTGCTCAAAGAAGCCTGGGGGGTGATGGTTATATCTGATGAAGCCCTCCTAACTGGTCACAGACTGGTCAATGATGACCAAAGTTTTTAGAAGGATTCGCATAGTTTGGTGCAGTGGTCTCAAATTTCCTTGAGCCTGAACATAACCTGGGTATGTCTTATGTGTCTTGGAAATACAGATTCCTGGTGTACAGCCAAAATGGCTCTGACTCAGCATCAGCTCCAGGAATCTGTAATGCTGATGCATTGCCCAGCTGTGAATTGGACCTGAAGAATGGGTATGTGGTGGAATGAATCCTGTGCCAGAACTCAGAGAAGGGGGTTCTGGCTTAGATCTTTACCAGTGTGCCAGGCAACCTTGTGCAAGTCACTTCCCATCTTTCGACCAGCCATAAAGGGGCTGAACTAGATCAGCAAGACTCAAGCCCAGCCATGTATGGCATTCCTACTAGAGAGTATTGCAAGATGCTGGTGCCTGAGCCACCTGCTCATGGCCCCCTGGTAGCATGCATGTCAACAAATGGGATGACTTTGCCTACGTTTTTATGTTTGAAAGCTTCCAGCTCATTCTGATGTTGTTGGAGTCAAGAACTACTGTCTGGATGATTTCCAGTACTTGGTCTTGTTCTAGAATTCTGAACCTATGCAACTCTACATTACCTCTGTCTCTTTTCATCATTAATCCCTGTCATGGGGGAGAGTTTTCTAACATAAGACAATTTTCCAGAAAATTCAAGAGTACTATGTTAAGTACCAACTTTAAAAACTTTTGTCCTTTGATTTTCCTTCTTAAACAAAGATCAAAGTCATCATTTATGGTCATTTATTTGTGCATGTATTCCATAAATATGCATTTGGCATTTACTGCTTGCTAAGGGCTTCTGACAAAAAATTCTGTAGTGTAGTCAAAAGAGCGATGGATGATGGGTTGTAATAATAATAATGATAACTAACATTTAAATATTCACCAAGTGCTTACTATACGGTAGGCACTGTTCTGAACACAATAGTTCTATTACCTCATTTAATCCTCAAAGTTGTGATAATTATATGCCCATTTTACAGATGGGAAAACTAAGGCACAGAGAGGTTCTGCACTTCCTCAAGATCACACAGCTGGTTAAGGCAGAGCTGGGATTCAAAAGTCTATGTGATGATAAGTTGTTCCCTCCCAGAACCTTGGCTTCCTCTGTGCTGAGTAACTCCCAGATCCCTTTGAGGCCTCACACCCTATGATCCATGTCTGCATCCTAGATCCCTCAGGAAGTCCCTCACCTGCATCAAAGAGAGCCTGCGTATCTTCATCGATCTGGGAGAGAGAGACAAGGCTGCTGAGGCCTGGCTGGGGGCCGGGCGACTCCACTACCTCATGCAGGAAGACGAGCTGGTGGAGCTGTACCTGCAGGTGGGTCTCCTGTTGGCGCCGCTGCTGACTCGGAACATTTGGGCAGGCAGCTGCACATTCCAAAGTGACTGGCTTAACTAGAGAGAGGTGATATCCAGGCCAAGTCCTTTGAGGGGGGTGGGGCAGCTCCCTGGGCATAAGATTGAACCCAGGGAGGTCTGGCGGGCTGAATACAGGAGGCAAACAGCAGACCCCACGTCCCACGTACAGCTGTGAGCCCCCACCCCCGACCCCGTCACATGGTTATAGCCATTTTCCCGACTCACACACTTTGGTTTTTTTTTTTAATTCTTTGCCTTGATCATCTTTCACCTCCATCTTTTTTTTAAAATTGATTTATTTTTTAATTTTCTTACATCGTTGTTCATTTTTTGCATAATATTTGATTCTCCCCTCAGGTGTTGTTCCCATAATTCTCCTACCACTGCGGTGGCACCCGTGATCCATCACCACAGTCCCTTGCTCTTCTGGCCTCTGTTTTGAGCCCTCTCCTTCCCCTCCCCTTGCTGTGTGCCTCAGATCTATGGTTTGTCTGCAAGTTATGTCTTTTCCTCATCTTTGTTTGGTTTCCTTATATCCCTCCTATAAGCGAGACCACCAAAAAAACCCACATGCATTTTGATTCTAGGGTTTTGCTGCAACTAGAGTCAAGGTTGATGTGTGCAGGGTTTTAACATGATTGCCTCTTAGGATTCTTTTCTTTGCACACCTTTAATGTCTGAGATATGGTACAGTGTGGTGATACAAGGCCTGGGCTTTGGAGACAGACAAGCCTGCAACCAAATTCTGTGGTCACCAATTAGGTACTGTGTGACTTTGGGCTTGCTATGTGAGCTCTCTGAGCTTTTTTCACTTCTTAGCATAAGGAGTAGAAATCACTTATAGTAAATGCATTTATTAAATGCTGGGGACTTAGAAAATACTTAATCAATCAGATTATTATTATAACTATTTTTCTGCTTTTTTTTTGGCATGTAAGGACATTTGTTATCTCAAAAATAGGCCTGCTGTCATTCCTTCCTTCCCCTTATTATTCCCTTTATTCTATTACTTGAACCTAAACTCACTTCCACTGAGTCTTATATGGTGTGTATGCTGACTGCATGCCTACAGCACCCTGGAGGCTTTGTTGAGCGTATCACATGCGTGATGTAGTTTAATTCTCATTACAAATGCAGCAGGAGTTTCTACTGAAATTTCCACTTGCTGACATATTTTAGTGAGACTGAATAACTTGCCTGAGGTCTAACGACTAGTGAGAAGTAAAGACTGCACCATGGCAGTTTGACTTAAAGCATTCATTCTCAGTTCTAGAACATCATACCTTTAGATTTTAGAGCTGGAAGCATTTTCAGAGTGCAGACAATGCAGTCCTGTGCATCACTTTCTGGCCCCAAGGGAACTGTCTGGGTGGTTCCCTGCTGGGTGGCAGTGCCTCCCGACTCAGACTCCAGCTCACTGCCAAGTGCAATGATAGTGGGGTCCTGCGATTCTCTGGTCTCAGGCCCACCCCACTGTGGACTGCCACCTAACTGAGGCTCTGGGGCCATCCCCACCAAAGTGTTTTGAGGTCCTGGAGCCATGCTGCAGAGGTTGGGGGACATTCTGTTTAGATGCAATATGAAATACCTTGTTGGAGAGAAAGAGGGCTTTCTTTCTCTTTCCTCATGGGGGTTGGGAGAAGGATAATGGGCTAGAAGACACTAGTGATTGCTTTCCACTAACTGGTGATGTGAACTTGGCCGTGGAGAAGTTTCTTGTTCTTTCCTAAGCCTCAGTTTCTCCATCTGGAAAGGGTAGGTGTTGGCCTAGACAACTGTTTTCCAAGCCTCAGTCATTTACACATCCAGTCAGGATATCTTCTGTATGATTATTTACTCCCCACTTTTACTCCGCTTCAAATCAACTTAGATTTTAACATTAAGTGATACTGCCTGAAGTCACAGGTTTTGATGTATTATGAGTCTTTTTTTTTTTAATAAATTTTATTTTTATATTCCCCATACAATTGCAATCCCCTTATTTTGATCCCAATCCCTCCCCTCTCCACCCCCCACCTCCCATAGAGTGTCTCTTGTTCATAGCTGTTTGTTGATTTTGATATTTTCTTTCTTATAGTTATTCTTTTTCCTGGTCCCTTATTTAAGTTTTCTAGATTTCTGCTATGAGTGAGACCATCCGGTATTTTTCTTTTTCTTTCTGTCTTATTTCACTAGCATGATCCCTTCCAGCGCCATCCATGTTGCTGCAAATTGCATGTGTTTATCTTTTTTGAATGCTGAGTAATATTCCATGGTATATATGTACCGCATCTTTTTGATCCAGTCATCTATTTTTGGGCATTTGGGTTGTTTCCAAAGCTTAGCTGTTGTAAATAGTGCTGCTATAAACATAGGGGTGCAGGTGCTCTTTGGAACTGATGTTTCTGTATCCTTTGGGTAAATACCTAGGAGTGGAATTGCTGGATCATATGGAAGCTCTATGTTTAGTAGGTCCAGAAATCTCCACACAGCTCTCCATAGTGGTTGGACCAGTTTGCACTCCCACCAACAGTGCTGAAGAGTTCCTTTTTCTCCACATCCTCGCCAGCATTTGTTGTTGCTAGTATTTTTAATATGTGCCATTCTCACTGGTGTAAGATGGTATCTCATGGTAGTTTTGATTTGCATTTCCCTGATGACAAGTGATGTTGAACATTTTTTCATATGCCTGTTGGCCATTTGCATTTCCTCTTCAGAGAAGTTTCTTTTTAGCTCTTCTGCCCATTTTTTGACAGGATTATTTTCTTTGTTGTTGTTGAGTCTCATCAGCTCTTTGCAGATTTTTGTGATCAGTCCTTTATCATTAGTGTTGGGTGCAAAAATGTTCTCCCAGTTGGTGGGGTTTCTCTTTGTTTTTGTTATTGTCTCTTTTGTTGTGCAGAAGCTCTTTAATTTGATGTAGTCCCAGCTGTTTATCTTTGCCTTCACTATCACTGCTTTGGGAGCAGGAACCCACCGCCGGGGCAGACCCGGCACGTAGGGAGTGCATCCCGCATCGCCATTTTAGAACAATCCAAAAGGAGTCTTGTTTTTCTAAAACACATTGTTTGTTCTATTAAAACACAAAATGTTTGTTTTTATACTGCAAAAAAATCATTTCTAGGGTTACCAAAGTAATCTCTCCTAGCATGATGGGGAGATGCGAGATCAGAGACCCTCCATAGCTTTTCACCAGCCCTGTGAGTGGGGGTGTGGGGGGCAACTCAGAGTTCATGCACTTTAGCAGAAGGTTAAACTATTGGCCTGCTATCACACGCCTGCCTGTCCTGTGGGCGTTTGGAAGTCCTTCTCTCTATCTTCCTGTCTTTGACAGCCATCTCTGTCCCTCCCAGGCCGCCATCCAGAAAGCCCTGAAGTTGGAGGAGCCCTCCCTGGCTCTTAAGCTCTATGAAGAAGCAGGTGACTTGTTCTTCAATGGGACCCGCCGCAGGCACCGTGCTGTAGAGTATTACCGAGTGAGTCCTGGGCTGCCTGTGTCCAGCTGGGCCGGGCACAGATGGGGTTTGTGGGGACTGGGGCCTGGGATCCAACCCTTTCCCCTCTCTGACTGGTATTTCTTTTTCTCCCCTTCCTCTCCAATGCCCACGATGCCCTCTCTTCTGTATGGCACTCTCCAGGAGGCTGCGGGTATACCTTATCATTCTCGTGCTTGATAAACACTCTAATCATCACCCCTCTTGTGTGCATTGTACTTTACAGTTTGTAGCACACTTAATACTTTCCAGAATGCTCTCATGTACTGCTGGTGACATCGTGGGAGATGATTTTAAATGGGCCATGAATGAATGCTTTTCTTTGACTCTGTTTTTATCAAGCATGCATTTTAATATATTTTAAAAAATTAAAATTGTGTAACACCAGTTCATCTAACCCATGATTTCAAAGATATTGCAGTGGATGAGGCAAGATAATAAGGGTTTATTTAATAAATTATACCAATTAGATATGCCCAGAAGTTAACGAAATGTCAAAAATCATATTTGCTGTTCACCCTGACTAAAATTTGGGGAACCTAATTATCTTATTTGAACCTAAAATTTCATTTATTCAGATATTCATTCACTTATCAGTTGTTTATTCAATCATCAAACACTTCTCAAGCACCCAGTTAAGTTTCAGGCACTGAGCTAGGGTGGGGAGAGCAGGAAGCACTTTCCTGACTGTTGTGCTTATCTTTATATGTATTTTATAGATGAGAAAATAAAGGCTCAGAGAGGTGAAGTGACCTGCTCCAAAGTCTATCATAATAAAAATAATAGAGCTGACCATTTATTGGGCACTCTCAGACACTATGCCAATATTGCATATGTGCACTTTGTAGATATGGTGCTAAGGGAGCATGTAGTTAGGAGAGAAATAACTTCCCATGTGACCTTGGAGAAAGTCATATCCCTTTTCCCACATTCAGCTTTTCTAATTTTAGGAGGGCTGATGACTTCTAGTTATTCTACCTCTAATTTCTGTGTGTAGCAACCAAGAGCAAGGACCAGGTGAGCAAGTTAAGGAAAGACATGCATGGAAGTACAGCTGTCATTCTTTGCTTTTAGTCACAACAACCCTCTGTGGCTCAGCCCTGCCTGTGGCATGCAAGCCTCTTAGAGTCCATCTTTATCCATGGTTCTTGCCGAGGCTAAGATTCCCGTGCCTATTATTGGGGAGGAAGTACTTTCCTTTCTTTTTACCCTTCTAGGTTCCTTGGCCGTTCTAATGACTAAAATGGCATAAGCTAGACTAACAGAAGACAAACAGATTTAATTATCTACATGGGGGGTAGGGAAGGCCTTACAATGACCCAAGAGCCCCAGAGAGGCAGCGTGAGGTATATCTGCAATCTTGGGCGATAGCATCTGGGACTTCAAAGGGAAGGAAGGCAATTCACAGGAACAGGAGAAGAGCAAATGTTTGCTAACCAATGTTTCCTGAGCCTGCAGAAATAATGGGGCAGAGAAGACTTTGAACACAGGTTTTGCTAAGTGTCTCCCAGTCTACTGCATTTAGTTTACGTATATGTGTGTTTTTGTTTTTGTACTTACTGGATGTTACATAGCTTACTTCCTTGACAGTGCTTTTTTTTTTTTTTTTAAGATTTATTTATTTATTTATACAAGTACTGGGTACAGTCAGAAATGCGGGAGGGTGAGAGAATTCACTAGAGCCAGAGCGGGGAAACAGAGCAGGCAGACTGATGATACACTGCTGAGGGGAGCAGCGGGCGGCAGGAGAGGTCTGCGCGCCATGTGGGACCCTCGCCCGGCTGCCGGGGATCGAACTGGCGCTGCAGAGGCTGTGGGTTGCCTCGCAACCCAACGCTCAACCACTGCGCCACCGGGGAGGCCCCTTGACAGTGCTTTCTATACAAATTACGTTAAACAATTAAGGGAAAGACAGAAAAAGGCTTCCTGAGTAAGCTGGGTGCAACTTGTCTTTAGCTGCCCACATCTCAAAGCAGCCTATCTGGGGGAGGCATATTCTGAACCCCTCCACTATGTTCTCAGGCTGGGGCTATTCCTTTAGCAAGGAGGCTGAAGGCATTGAGAACGGAGCTCCGGATTTTCAACAAGTTGACTGAGTTGCAGATCAGCCTGGAAGGCTACGAGAAGGCTCTAGAATTTGCCACACTGGCTGCCAGGCTCAGCACAGTCGCAGGTAGGTGGCCTTCCCTGCTGGTGTTTGAATGGAAGGAGAAATACTCCCTGAGGAGGGACAGCAAAGCAGTGACAGCAGACACTCTGAAATCAGACTGTGTGGGTTCAAATCCCAGGTCCAAAACAATCAATTAACCAAGTTGTTTAATGTCTCTAAGCCTCAAGTTTGTCACTGGCAAATAGCATCAGGCTTGAAAATAGCACCCATCTCCTGCAGTTGTTGTGAGGAGCAATGATAATCCGTGTGAAACATGGGTCATAGTGCTTGGTGTAAAATACGTACTTGATATGTGATACCAGTGCCACATTAATTATTATTATTATTGTGTAGTTGGTATTGTTCGCCAGCACAGGGTAAATGGTATTTTATCTCCATACCAACAACAGCCCCTGTCCTAACACTCCAAAGGACTGTGACCTAAAGTTTTGACTGTTCGATCCTTAGTCAAAAGCACATTTCCCCCAAGGAATTAAAATGTAAATGGTGACATTCCTATCAACTTAACTCACTAATAAGCTGACACAGTTTGCACTTATACCAAAAGCTATTGGGGAGCAACAAAGGTCATTAAAAAAATAAAAAAAGACTGAATTAAAAAAACAAAACCTCATCTCAACTGTTGGTGCTCGAGATATGCAGTTTGATGCGAGAAGCCTTGATTCCATTTTGAGGCAAATGGAGTCTTGGGTGAAGATTCCAGATCAAGGGTGTTAGACACTTTAGAGTGTCTAATTGCTCTCTCTCCTTTTCCTACCATTTTCCTTATTGCAGAAAACCTTATTGAGCGGTTGCTTCTCTGCTAATCCCAGGAAAGGCCTTGGGGACTCCAGCAGTTCCCTCTCTGAGCTCTCTTTATCCGTCCCCCCCCCCCCGGGGAAAAGCGAAAAAGAGGATATAGCCACCCTTTCACACATTTCCCTGTGACTGGATTTTTCCATATCAGAGTATTTTCTCTTTTAATTGTGCCTTTTGGTCCTTTGAAACTTAAAAGTGATATTTTTAGATTGCATCAAACAGCCACCTTGCAAATATTCCAAGCACACAATTGGAAATTTTTGTTCCCTTTCAAAGGCCACATTGTGTTAAAGAAATTGGTTATAAAACAGCAAACCTACCAAAAACCAAAACAAGTCATAGACCTATTGGAAATCAATGTAAAACAAGCATGTTGAAAAACAAAAACAAAAGTGAATGGGTCTCTGTAGCTTATCTGAGACAGGGAGTTGGTGACTGAGCCTGAGGTGACCTGACCAGAGGTGACCACTAGCAGGACAGCCCCAGGAGCAGCTGACTAGAGCCTTTTGTGGAAAGTTGTTGGTTATACGAATTTGAGTAGTTTGTCAGGATTCGTAGCTACTCTATCAAGCGAAGACTCCATCAAGTCTTGTCATCATGACCTATCACAGGGGTTTGGAAAGAACTAGTTCCTAGAATCTCAAGTTACTGTGACATCTGCAATAAGGAGAAAGTTTTCTTCAGGAATCATCTCTGAAAACTTTGACCATATGCTCTAATCGCTCTCCTAGAGAGCCCCGTCTTTGCTGTTGTAGCTGTGGGAGTGGAAAACATCTCCTTCTATGCTTTTGGGTTCTTTCCATTAGCCTAATAATTAAATTGACATGACAGATTCCTAGGAGAAAAACAAATTTAATTTCACATGTACAGGGACCTCAAGACCTGGCACTCTGAGAAGTGACAAAAGCTGGCAGTATTTAGACCTTCTTGAGAAGGAAATAGCAAACTTGGATAAATAAACAAGAAACCTTGAGCTGGGGTGCTAATAGGAATAAGTAGCAGAGTTTGTTTACATAATTTCTGTCTCTGGTAATATGGTAATAAGGGTAATAATATGGTAATAAGGGTAATAATATGGTAATAAGGCTCAGGGAGGGTGCCGTTCCTGCTTTCAGGGAGACGGAAAAGGGTCACAATGACTTTCTTTAACAAGCTATTTCTTAAGTATCTTTAATGCAAAATATGCCAAAGTGGTGTATTTTGGGGTGAGTTGCCCCACACCCCGACATAATACTCAGCACAAGTGTAATTTTCCCTCTGTGAGATTATTTAAGGAGTGTCTGTGTTCCACGAGACCATTGGTCTCCTCAGGGCAAGGTCTCTTCTACTTTGTCCCCAATGCCCCAAACTTCGTCCCTGACTCTAACAGACCTTCAGATGTCTTCACGGATTATATGGACGGTTTCACTTATATGTGGAATCTAGAGAAACTAAACAAAGGTAAGACAAAGACAAACTGTCAGGCCAAGCCTGAAAGCAGATCACATATCTGAGACCCCTGGGAGGGGAGGGAGGAGGGGGAGAAGGGGACAGAACAAGAGGGAGGAGAGTGCGGTGGAGGCTGGAGGACTGCAGGGACTTCATCGGGGTGGGGGGCAACTGTGGTGACCGGGCCCAAGGGGAGAAATCCTATCCTGTGAAAAAAATGAACGAGGAAGTTTACAAATAAAAAAGAAACAAGGAAAGCCGTTCCGAATGAACGCGTGAACACATGCGGTGAAGCATTGGCTGCAGAACCCTCTCCGTCTTCCATCCCTAGGAGATCAGAGGCAGGAGCTGGTGGCCTTTCACCGTCTGGCGACCGTGTACTATTCCCTGCACATGTATGAGATGGCCGAGGACTGCTACCTGAAGACGCTGTCTCTCTGTCCAGCCTGTCTGCACAGCCCCAAGGAGGCCCTGTATTACGCCAAGGTGTACTACCGGCTTGGCCGACTCACCTTCTACCAGCTGAAGGTAAGAGTCAGGCTTCCAACTCCGTGCAGGAACTACCATCTGACCTTAGGACGCTGAGCCTTCAGGGTAGAGTTGAGGGCTAGATTGGGGAGTTGTGTCTCGTAGGGTAGGGTGGCCCCACTGAGAACAAAATGGCTCTTTCTACCTGTATCGGAGGCCTCAGGGGGCTCCATCTCTGCCTGGAGATCAATCCCAGCTCCTCAATCTCCTTGTCCTTCTTCCATCTCTGTGGCCACATCATCCATCAATGCTATGGCATGTTGCTTGGTGCCTGTGAGCTCCTCACGGTCCTGTGAAATAAATGAGACCAAAAACAATATATGAGCCCCTCAACAAAAAAACTATCAGCTCTGACGTTAATGTCTACCTGCATGTTTAGGGGTACAGGGGAATATTTCCCCCATCCCTCCTGGCTCTTCTCACGTTAGTCAAGCAAACAAATTCACATTAGATAAATTACGAGAAAAAAAATAATGGGAGAAGTTACATGGATGTTAATTCTAGAGTAAATGGGATAGACTGGGGGCTTATATCCTGAGCTAAGTAGGGTCTGGAGCATCAAGAAGAGAGGTTGGGGTCTCACAGGGCAAGGAGAGGGTGAGGCTTGTGACAAAACCAGATGCTCTAGAAGTTTGCCTTGCCAAAGAGAGATGTCACTGAAAATATGATAATTTTTGGAAATGACCCTAAGGCTGCTAATTTAAAGTAAGGTGAGAGTTTCTCTTGAAGCTCACAGGATCTCAGTTGACTTTAACTTCACAAGCCAAGGTGATGTGTACTTGGAGAAGCTTATCTAAATATTTTTTTAGAGGCCTACCTTTCCTATGTCTACAAAAGGCTACAGGTTAACTGATCAACTGCAACTCACTTCCTATAAGGTTCTACACATCTATATTTTGGGAGAAATTTAAAATTAGGTGCATGGTAATATGTCAGAGATAAACATATGTTGAGATAAAAATGTGTTGAGATATATGATATGTTTGAATGGAAGCATGCCTAGGTCCTAAGAAGGCCTTGCTTTTGATTCTCCTATTTGTTGTGCTGGAGTTGAATCTAGGACTTCTTATTTTTCTCGTCTCTTCTGGGAATGTATAGGTGGTCCTTTATTCTGTTACAATTTTGTCTCTAGAAGCTTTGACTTCCTCTTACCAGAGGTCCCAGCCTATTCCAGCTCAAACCTAATCTCTTAATACAGTGACTGCCTGTTTGGCCCCCTGGGGGCCCTTGGGGCTGCTCTGCTGTGCTTTTCTTATTTTCCAGACGTTGATTCTGGCCTGAATTAATTATTGACTTATGAGGGCTAATGGGAACCAGACATCTCTTTTTGAATCTCACCCAAAGAAACATCTGTTGCTTATTCCTAGGGAATACAGCGAGTGTTGAGGGTTGTGGGGTATGTGTGTGTTTGTGTGTGTGGGTTGTTCTCGAAGTACTCCTAGCCATCTTGCTGTGTCTCACAGCTCCCAGGAAGTGGCTCAGGGACCAAGTATGTGGGATTGAATAGTATGAACCAAGGACTCTAGGAATTGCCAAGACGAGAGCTCATCTCACATTAGCTTAAGCAAAAGAAATGACAAGGTATTGCTACAGAGACTGGGAAGCTCAGGTGTAATATAATTTTTGGTTGTTTCGGATGCTGGTACTCAGAAATCTTCAAGGGTTTCCCTATCCATCTCTATGTCTTGGCTCTGTATGTTTCTACTTCTGTATCTTGCCCTCCCTCTCCTTCGGCTCTTGATAGGCTCTAACCTCTGTCTAAAAGGGTGTAGGACCACTTTCTCTGCCAGGTCACATTGAAAGGTCCCAAGTGATGACTAGATGGGTCATCTGGGGTCATCCCTGAAGCGCTGGGTCTAGGGCAGTGCTGCTGCATGATTGATCAAGTCTGGCCAGATTCCACTTTTGTGCCAGGGTCACAGAGGACCACAGTGGAGTGGGGGAGGAGCTCCCCAGGAGACTGGCAGAAGGTGATGGAAACATCTATTGGACACAAAAGCTAGGGTTCCTGGAGCTCCTGGCAATGCCTCACAGCCTGTCCTGGAAATATTTGCTAACACTGTCTCTTCTTTGCCCCTGCCATGGGGTTAGGATGCCCACGATGCCACTGAATACTTCTGGCTGGCCCTTGCAGCAGCGGTCCTGCTTGGTGATGAGGAGTTGCAGGACACCATTAGAAGCAGACTGGACAACATCTGCCACAGCCCCCTGTGGTATAGCAGCTCTTCTGGGCGCTCCTCAGAAAGGGCGCGGTGGCTGAGTGGCGGGGGCCTGGCCCTCTGAGGAGAGCTGTCCCGTCTCTGACCAGAGGCCCCAGTCAGAAGCTGCCTCCCTGCCCCAGGATCCTGGACACTGATCTATCTGGAGGATTGAGTCATTCCCTGACCAACCCCCCTCATTTTACAATGGGAAGAGAGAAGTCTAGAGGCAGAGGTCTTGTTCTGGGCCACACAAGTTGTGGGTGTCGGAGCAGGGATTAGGAGGCCTGGCTGTGCGTCTAGAGCCTTCCAGTAGACTGGCCCTTCCACACACATGTCCACTTTCTCAATGTGAGAAACCTGGCTTAGGAAACCTATCTCCTTCCTCTGTGAGGAAACCAGATGGCAGATGGGACTCTGTTCCCTTCACTTACTTCACTCAGTGGTGGACTCTTCGCTTGCTAGTTCCTTTCCTCTTTCTTTTCAGCAAGAACCAAAGGAGGTCTCACTCTTCCTGCCACTGGGCACTGGCAGGAGGGAATTCACTGTGTTCTTAGCACGAAAGAACCTCAGGAGAGCCCGCTGGAAGGCACAATATGTGAGACCTGAGGTAGATTCACCATCTCTTCCCTGTCCCCGGCTCTGCTCCCATATACCTGCCCAGAACCCTTGGGGAAGCTTCCCAAGGGTCAAAGCTTAAAAACTAAGCACCAAGAAAATGATGCCCTAAGTGACGTGTAAACAGTATATATTATTAAATATTGACCATGGACATTTGTACATGTGTATCTCCTTTATAATAGGGAGAGAAAAGATGGCAGACTTGAAGGATGGCTGAAGTAGCCAGGTGTTGTGTTGGTTTCAGGGTAGCTCCTTTTCAAAGCGTGTCTACTGGTCATACACCGTTGCCTAACCTGTGCCTTGAAACGTTAGCTCACAGTTTCTGTAGGAAGGCAGGAATCCAAACTTGATGTAGCTGAATCCTCACCCGTGTGGCTCATCAGGCTGCCTTCAAGCTTCTGAGGTAACTGTGATCTCTCAACTTCACCAAGAAGAATCTGCTTCCACACTCACTCAGTTGTTGTTGGTGAGAGTCAGTTCCTTGCTCGCTCCTGGCCAGAGGCTGCCCTTGGGTCCTTGCCACGTGGCCTCTCCCCAGGGCATCTCACAACAGGTAGCGCACAGGGGAGCCAGCGAAGTCAGGAAGTCACGGCCCTTTCATAACCTAAGCTCTTAAGTGACTTTGCCCTTCGTTGTGCTTTTTCTGTTCATGATAAGAGAGTCCTTAGGTCCAGGCACACAAAAAGGAAGGGAGTTACCAAGGGTGTGAATATGAGGGAAGCTGAGTACTTGGGGATATTTCTGGAGCTGCCCACAACATATCTGAATTCTTTGATAGGCAGTGAAGCCAACATATGGTCCACTGACTGCACCAGCTGCATCACCTGTGATATTGTTTGAAATGTAAATTTTTGCCCATCCCCTCTTACCACCCTTCCACCCCAATATCTTGGACTTGGAGTCTCTGGAGCCCAGGTGAGCTTTACCTTCTCCCCAGGTCACCCAAGTGCACACAAGCACACGAGGAGCACAGACAGGCTCCAGAACAGTGGTTCTCAGATTGTGTGTAAAACAACCATGGGGAGAAATGTGGGGCATCACTTTCTGGGTCTACCTCAGCACTGAAATCTGGGGGGTCTGGAACATGTGTTTTAATGAGCAGCTCAGGTGACTCGAATGCAGGTGAATGATCCTGCCCTGGAACGTCATACCTGGGCATGGATTTAACCATAGACAAGACACCAGCTGCCCTTCAGCTTTGATTTTACTCTTGGCCCTGCTGTTCTTAATTTCTCGCTTCTTGGGCTGAGCAGATGGTTGGTGGCTTGATGGGGCGAGTTGAGTCAGCATTGCATCTTCTAGGCTCCAAGCTTGTCTGCATAGCCACTCGTCTTAGTTTCTTTTAGGAGCTTGGTTGGTTGTCAAAAGATTTTTCTACTGTAGAAAGTCTTCTCTGGGAAGGAAATGCAATGACCTGATCTACCATGTAAATTAGGTGTGGTTTCACTCCTACCACATGAAAGCCGCTAGTAGGAGCGGGTGTTGTGGGCGAGTCCAACTTCCCATGCAGAATCCTTTCAAAAACATTCCTGGGAGACAGAGGGCTCATGCTCCAAACTGTATGCCCCTTCCCTGTGACCCCGCTCTGTGACACCCCTGCCCCCTCATCTGACTCAGGTTACACACCTTCTGCCTATTCCCAACAACCTGTTACTCTTCACCTGTCAGATGCCAACTTCTGTCCCTCTGAAAGTGGGGTTCTCTTAGCTACACCAGGCCTTTGGCATTGGCTGGTGGGTAGTGAGTGCAGAGGGACATGACTGTGCTGAAGGAAATGGAAGGTTGTATTTGAAACTTGCCTTCAGATTTTCCTTCTTCCTGGTAGCCACATCTTGCCACAGCTCATATGGAGCTTATGGCCAATTGTAATGTCTTTCCACATGAGCTTCTGTTTGGCCAGATCTTTCTCAATTGCTCCAAATACACATTTTTCAGTCAAGGACATGATATCTACCCCTTTTACATTTTGTTGGGAATTTTGGTTAAAATTGTCTGATTCAGTACTTTGGTTCACCTGTAAATCTGGTAGATTTGCCTCTAAAATGTTTAGTACATTTCCAAACACTGTGATAGAGCTATTTTTTAAAGGAGAAAGGCATAGTGCTCTAGCCTGGCAACAATCACACGCTATATGCAAATCCCTCTGCTAATATTGTCTTTAGAAGTGTTTAAAAGTCCCATTTTAAAAATGTGGTTTGATGTTGTTTTTTCATGACCCACAGAGAATGAAGTGATGATTGAATTGGGTCTCTGTTCAAGCAGGTTTAATTATACATAAACAGTGGCCAAAAATGAATGAGTTACCCTCTTTATTCTATCTGCACCCAACTGCCTAGCCCTCCTGGCTCCTGGCTCCTTGTATCTAATCTAAATAAAGAATAAGGAGGGAATTACATGTTTTCTCAACTTTCAGTATATTGCTTCCCTCTCCAACAGTGTTAATGCCTTGAAAGCCAATGTTGTTTTTTTTCTTTTTCTTTTTTTGTTTTTCCACTGTTTTAAAATGTCTTTCTATTGCCTGTGTACACAGGAATCTACACATATGTGCATGTGTGTGCCTGTGTGTTTGCTTGTGCTTTGTAAGTAAAATATAACTTTTGACAGAAGTTTATCTGGGGAAGGGAATGCAGAGAGCTGGAAGGGGTCAGATCAGGGGTGAGAAACAGATCACCTGGTGGTGGAGAAACATGAATCTTGGTCTAGAATTTGATATAAACTTATAATCTGACCTTGGGCAAGTCATTTAGCCTCGATGCACCTTGGATTTCTGTTCTGTAACATAACAAATAAGATCACCTCTCTGTTCCTTTGCAGCAATGTTATTTCTGTGTCTTTTAGACAGGAGGATAGATGGTAACCGAGAGGTGAAATTATATATTTTTATGGCTCAATATTATTCTCCTCTTTTTATGGGTGAGTAAGCTGAGAAATAGAAAAGTGATTTTCTTCCAGTTACACAGGTAGTTAATGGCAATGACAGCATGACCCAAGGACTTAGTAATATTGAGGACAGGTTTTCTCTCAGCGCAAATTTCATAGTTGAGTGCATGTATGCATGTGTGTATATATAATAGGTGTGTACACACATGTATGCAAGCACGTAGATGTGCATGTATACATGCATGGCTGTATAATGCATTGTGTGCATACTCACATATTTATTACCTTATGTGTAGCTGAACGTTTATCACATTTTTTCTTTTTTTTTTAAAGATTTATTTATTTATGCATACAAGAACTGGGGTATAGGCCAGAGGTGTGGGGGTGAGAGGATTCACCAGAGACAGAGTGGGGAACAGAACAGGCAGATAGACTAAAATACATTGCTGAGGGGAGCAGCGGGCGAGGCAGGAGAGGTCTGCTGCACCATGGGACCAAACTTGGCTGGCCAGGGACCAAACTTGTGCTGCAGAGGCTGCGGACAGCTTCATAGTGCTGTGCTTAACACCTTGCGCCATCAGGGAGCCTCCATATCAAACTTTTTCTAAGGCAATTTATTCTCTTCACTCATATCAATTGATTTTTAAAGGATGATTGAAGAAAAACTTGTATTTTATAAATATAATTTCATAAGTGAAATAAATTCAATGAAAAGAAAACAAAATTCAAGCTAGATCTTGTCAGCTATGGCAAATAGCTAGCCTAGAACTGATCTGGAATTAATTGCAAATAGAGTGATTGACAAGTGGCAGGGAGTATTGAGTGGAGACTACAAGTTTCTTTTTGAGCCATGAGAACAGTGGGGAAGGCAGCACAGAGGATGACCTCCCCCAAATGAGAGTCAGTGCTGCTTGATGTCTGATCTCCAAGCACATGCTTCCCACTTCAGGGATGTGGGATTTCAGCTGTAGGAGAGAAAGGAGCAAATGATATAACATGAATGTGATTCGGGATGAGAACTGCTGCCATGGGAGTTGATTGCAGGGGCTTATGGGAACTCAGAGTGGACTGAACCCAAGTATGGGCCGGGGCAATCAGGAGGGCTTTCTGGAGGAAGTGACATCTCAGGTCTGGGAGAGGTCTACTTGATTTCATGGCAGGCCAGGGAGTATGGAGGAGATAAAGCATGTGCCAAGCAGTCCAGAGGATGGAGAAGGCCTGGTGTTTTCTGAGAACAGCAGCATGTTCAGCAAAATCTGAACACAGTCAGGGTGAGGGGTGGGAAAGTGACAAGAGGCTGGAGAGGGAGATGGAGACAGACCCTGAAGGTCTGATGTTTGATCTTCACCTTGAGGTTGGGGGTGGGGGGAGAAGGGCACAAGAAAGTTATAAGCAGAAGAGAGAAACATGATCAGACCTGTGCTTTGGAAAGATGGTTCTGGGAGTAGCATGAGAAGGGATTAGCAGCAAGAGAGAGGGCAGTAGACTTAGGATGTACGTTTTGGATTTCACTGCAGCCTTTGTATTTCCCCAGTTTCTCCAGTAAAATCCTTTTTGTGATCCAGGATTCCAGGGCATTAACTTTGCATTTAGTTGTCACTTTGTTTCCTTGGTCATCTCTTGTCTGAATAGTTTCTCAATCTTAGCCTTTCTGTGATTTTTATGACCATGACCATTTTGACCTCCTTTGCTGTGATAATTGCTCCATGGACAGGGGTAGGGGAAGAAACAATTCAAGGAGATGGTTCTGCTCTCACCAGGGAGAAGTTTCAGGTGGGTTAGGGACTTGGGTGTATGTGGGTTAGAATCTATCTCTTAGTAGCTGTGTGACTTTCAATAAGTTAATTAAAGTCTCTGAGCCCAGTGTGGTCAGGGTTATATCAGGCAGCACATGTAAAAGTACTGAGCACACACAGTGCCTGGCACATAAAGGATCTGATAAAGATTTGTGTACCTTCTTTATTTCATAGATGAGGAAATGACTGAAGCACATTTATTTTTGAGGGCAGCCCTTTACCCAGGGAAGAAAGAAGCCTAATTCAGACTCAAAACAAATGAGTTTATTTTTAAAGGCAGTTAATGAAATGGGTTCTGTTCTAAAAAATGCCCACTCTGACCACACCCATAGTTTATTTATTTTAAAGTTAAGATTTAAACCTTTTTTAAAACTTGGCTTTGTCTGACACTTTGCAATGGAATCACGTTTTGTTGCTTTCCTGATGTGAGCCTTGAAGTTAAAAGTACAGCCAAGGAGCTATCGGTGGCTGGAAGCACTGGTCCGGCATCAGGGACTCCTGTGTGAAGTTGGCCTCAGCCTCTTCCGCAGGGAGTGACCTGAGCAAGCTACTGTACCCCCTTGTGCCTCACCTTTTCCTCTAATTCATTATGATTTGGGACCCCACTTATGGATAACTTGGACTGAGCACCCAATTCATGGTCACTGTTAAAAGGAAGCAATATGAGGTAGATTCTTAGTAAGCATATCTGGCTTGGGACGTGATGCATATTTCTCCAGGCCTTTTGGGGAGGACTTTCTGGTGGCCAGTTTGCCTCTTGAGTGCGATAACGTAGTTTTCCTAGTTTGTGCCTCTCAGCTCCACCAGCCCCTTTCGGTTGTTTCAGAGCCAGGAGATTAGTGGGTGGAGGCTGTAGGCAACCCAGGCTCTGAGAATACAGAGTTGGTTGCACATTCCTCCAAAGGGTGTTGTCTCCCTGTGTTATAGGACAGGGAGAGGGGCAGCCCAAGCCCCGCAAACCTGCCTATTCTAAATGGGTTCTGCCATCCGCTGCATCAACACAAAACATATGAGACTTTAATGGGAAGGAACTTTAATAAAACTAGGAAACAATACAGGAAAGGCAAAGAATCTAGTTTCTAAATCAAGCACCCAAAGTTACCCGTCCCCTCGTGGGTAAAAGTCCATCCATATGGGATTGGCCCAGAGCAAGGCCCCAAAGCCTGCTACAAGTCTAAAGCATCTTCCAGTGGGGACCCACAGAAAAGGGTCACAAACAACTGGACAAGCCCGGAAGGAAAAGAGCAAAATCAACATCAAGATAAAAGCTGCCATTGTCACCTCCCCATGGGTCTCACCCACATCTGTGTCACCCAGTCCACGACCAAAAGACAAGTGCAGTTTCTTCACGTGTCTCTAGGCTCCATCCTGCTTCCTTCCTCAGTCTCCTCTGCAGCTTCTCCTCTTCCTGCTCAGCTCCACCCTTCCTTGGGTGGGGCAGGGAACCTGGAACCTCCCCCTTTCCTGGGGACCACCCTGTTACACCTGGAGAAGCAGGGACAGGTGGCTCGGGAAGAGCTGCCAACTGTGGTGTGCGGTGGCAGGCAGGGGGCTGGGATAGTGTGTGGCTGATAATCATGGTTTGACTTGGTTTCCCAAGAGCAACTAGGGGGGCAGCGGGAGGGAAGGACACTGTGCTTTCAAAGGTACTGCAAAGGTAAGAGCTCTCACTCCTAGTGAATCTAGTGTGCCCAGGGCATCAAGGCAACTCCAAGGTCAGTTGCCTCTTGTTGAGCTTTCAGACAGCAGGAGGAGGATGGCTGAGGTCAAAGGCAATAAGAAACAAGGCTTTTGCTGATCTGCTCTGGAATTCCAGCAGGGGGCAGTAATGTCTCTCTTAAGGAATAGATCATTTACCAAAGTATGTATTTAATCGCTCTGGGTCAGCCTAGAGCTGTGGTTTTAACACCTTGTTTTTATAATTTTGTTTTATTTTTTACTGTGATACATAGTAAGAAATGGATTTTATATTCTGTCTTAATACAGAGACACACAAACACGCATATGATGATGTATGTTGGATAAAACACTCTTTCATCCTTACTACATGAAATGCATTTGGAGAAGCACTATTCCATTCTGTTCTGTTCCATTTCCATTCCATTCTATTCCATTCCATTCTACGCTATGCCATCCATTTTTAAACATTCTGTTGTAATGTTAAATTCTCCAGCTTATGACTACTAAATTGATTTCTAGACTTACTAAGCAGCAGCTTGAAAACCACTGACCTGGAGTGAGGGCTTTCAAAAGTGCAAGAAGGAGCTGGCCATTGTTCTCTCTGATATATCATTTGATGGACAGCTTTGTTGAGAACAGAAATGCTTACATATCAAAATAAAGATGGCAGAGGACATTGTTGAATGGGTACTAGGCACGTGATCCAATGGAAAGCATTTCTGAGAACGCTCTCATATAATCTAGCAGCATTTTGAGGAAAGTACTTTTTAAAAAACAAAATCTCCATTGAGATATAGAGAGTGGAATGACGTAGGCAAGTTGAGCTGAGTGGTCGAGGTGAGATCTGAAGCCTTGTCTCCCTGATGCTGGGACCAGAGTGCGAAGCTGGCACGTTATGTTCTGGTCCAAGGCAGGTGGCACAGCCTTGTCATCATGAATAAAAAAAAGATGAAAACTTGTTTCGGCAGCCTGGGATACTAGGCTAAAATTCTGGTGAGTCAAAAAATGAATTACTCCAGAACAGGACTAGAGAGATTTGATATTTTTGGAGTTATTCTTGACCATACTCTGGAAGTGTAGAAGAAAGGATAAACCTTGTTTCCTAAATAAAAAAAATGAAAGAAAGACTAGGAAATTTATAATGGTATAGTGGTGATAGGGGAAAACAAATTATAAATTAGATTTTGAAGGTTCCAGGTGAGGACTAGGATGAATGAAAGGAATTTGCAAGGGATCCCAGAGCCAATAATGCAAGACTATGGACATCTGGTAAGTGTGAGCACCAGGTGGAACCTCAAGGGTGGGCTTGAGAGGCAGTGGCAGAAAGGTGATCATGCATGTGGCAGAATTAAGGACTCTTGATAAGGGAAAGCAAATAGGACCTCTTCCTCCTCCTCCACATGTGTCTTGTGAAACAAGTAGCCTGGGAGAAGCCCATGCTTATATTAAGATACTTTAATTTTTACACATAAATGGTGTTAGAAACAATTTTTACTCGCCCCTTGTACTCAGGAATGCCTGTTTATTCTCTTGAACTTCCTTATCATTCCTATTTGGGATTGCATATCTCCACCATGATCTAATAGGAATAATTATGAAAATGGTTCTTATATTCTCTTTTTGATTCTTACCTTTCAGATCTATGGTCTGATATTTAAATATACAGGATATGATTCTCAACTACTTAAACCACTCTTACATAGGCCAAATATTATGTGTGAAGATGACATTTCTGTTCTTGAACTTTCTTGTAAATTGAACACTCTTGATGTTTGTTCATCCGGGGATTTTGGGTGTCTACTTCATAAATATGTGCACAGGAATGTCCCTGACTTCTCTGAACGTGGGGCCAGACACCACAACACCAGCTCCATCCGCCTTCCTCAGGGGGGTGTGCCAGGCCAAGCTGAAATAACAGCTGCTTGGTAATCTTGGTGACCCAGCAGCTTCTTATTCATGAAACAAACAAAACGAACGTTTGTCTTAGAACATGTTACTTTGGGAGTTCTGTGGGCGGAGGGAAGAATAGCCAGAGATGACTTGGAGGATATGCATTTTCGGTTGTTTGAAAGTCCAAAGGGATATTAGAGATGGAAAATCTGACCCTCTTCCAAGTCCTGCCTAGTTCCTTCCTTCCCTTCCCAGT